AAATCCCACCATCTGATCCCCCGGGCACCCAGATGGCAGATCTCTGCTCCACACAGAGCTGTGGTAGCATCAGGAAGGGCAATCAAGGTAAAAACAATCGCTCAGTCCTCATGCGAGTTATTTCGCTGTGGTGACCCCTGAAGAAAGACCTGAAGCTCTCGACCTTGACCTCTCGAAGTGGCTTTAAAAATCTGTTGGGACACCTGGCATTGACCAATGCAGACATGTTCCGTTTTTTAGTTTTCGACATTCGTCTTAGAATCTAGCTGTTTTTGTTACTTTTTTTTGGCCATCTTATTTGTAAGGGGAAAAAAAAGAAAGGAAATCTGTGTGCCTTTTTGTAGCCATCTATTGTTGTCGCTGTTGTCCAATGTTGTCATTGTTCTTTGTTGAAATCAGGTCTCTCTTGTAAATGAGGTTTTGAGGCTCAATGGGATTTACCTGTCTAAATAAAGGTTGAATGAACGAAAGCAGAAGGGAGCAGCCGAAAGACTAAGAAAAAAATACTGTAACGTACATATTCACACTTCCCATTTTAAATCATTCAGCATCATCCAAGTGGGTATGTTTTTTTTTCACGGCTTAAAATGTTTTAGCTTCTGACGCTTTAACTAAAACCTAACTGTACCTTATTGGAAGTGCAACAAAAACCAATCTTTATCCATGCTGCTGACTTCGTGCCTTTAACATGCTGTATTCATACCCCTCTGCTCACTACTCATGCTCAGGTTGCCGTTTAATATACTGCAATAGTTTATATTACTATATTAGTGTTTAGCATATGGCTTAGATCCTTGTATACTGTTTATTTTTATACTTTTTTGGGGCTATTTTTTGGGTGTAACTGGGACCTGGAGTACACAATTTTGTTCCACCTCATGTACCACATGTGATGCGAATGACAATAGCCAACCTTGAAAAAGAACCGCTATACTAATACTTTCCATATAACCATTTGAAAAAACTTGTTTAAAGCCAACTATTTATTTACAATAAACTCCAACCTAACAAAACGTTTCACCAATTAGTAAAAAAAAAAGAAAAAAAAAATACATGCAGTATTGTTTACACTTCAGTTTTTATATGCCAAACATCAACTAACATTAAAAATATAATCATGGTTTAGGCACAGGATAAAATGAGCAAAACAGTTGGTACAAAAATAGTTTTATTAAAAACGATTTCCTATGGCTGAAATATTGAAGATTTCTCGTCCATGTCTTTTATAATTAAATCATAGAAACATGTCAATTTTCAAACCACTAGGAATTAAAAACGTAAAAGCAACGGGCCTCTGTTTATTTTTATTTTTTGTGTGTCAACGCGTTTCTTTCAGATAAACAAATCACAGATTAACTATTACAACAAGCCTTAAAGTTGCCAGTAATAAAAGCATATTTACAGCAGTGTCCTGGGAAGAACCCTTCATTTCATACATCCTTACTTTTACTTCTACTCTCAGTTTGGTGTAAAATTATTCGGTGTACTCGCCGATTCTGGGCTTCAGATTAAAACAAAATTAAAACAGTTCATCTTAATGAAAAAGAAACTATGCTCGTAGGCTGTTTGTAAAAGTAAAATATATATAGATATATACATTTTGTATTTATTTTTATAACCAAAACAAATTTATGAATCTCACTGTCAGAGCAATGAAAGGGTTGTTTTGAAATTGAAATCCAAATTTAAAGCTTCATGGAACAAAAACAAACACAAATAATCTAAAAGTAGGCAAATTGAACGAAATACGTTTCAAACACAGATTTTCTGATTATTTTTTCTGTATTTTCTTTCAAACAGAAAAAAAGATGCGAAAAAAAAAAAAAAAAGAAAGAAACGTTAATTTCAATAAGTATCTTTGCATTAAAATGCTAATATTTTGACCCAGGACATTTTTGTAGTTTAAGAATACCTAACTTGTTCCTTAATTTGCCAATTTTCTTTCATCCAAAAAATATTTGTTAACTACATTTTTAAAATTCTACTTTTTCATGAAATTCAACTAGCACTTAAGTTTTGTCATGTTTGTTAACATTGACAATTTGTCAATTCAATTCAGTTTATTTATATAGAGCCAAGTCAACTCAGGGCATCTAAAATAAATAAAATGTTTCTTGTCAGACTTATTTTTTTCTGAATAGCTGTTGCTAAGAAGAAAGTCATCTGATTAGAAAAGGGATGTTTATGGTTGGATTCTCACATGTGTAAAGAGTCAATTACATCAAGCTTACACATAAAACGTTCTTTTAAATTTCTGAATGTCAGAAGCATTGTGGTTTTTCACATCTTTATTTTTTACTTTGTGAAAATTAAAAAGCCTCTAGCAAGCTATATTAGAGAAAATGAATTAAATGCAAGTGTTAATGAATGATTACATTTCCATGACTGATTCCCACAACATTTAATTTTTTTAAATCAAAGAAATGAACACTTTTGTGGTACTGCAACATTTAAAATGTCAAATGAAAAAGTCGATGCAAATTCAAAGCAGATGTTTTAACAATGTGTCCTTTGGAAATTTATGAGATCACCATTACTTTATGCACATTTGTCCGATTTTTTGAATCTTTGAAACTGAACTCACAGCTGACTCTAAACACACGAGGAATTAAGAAAAAAAAAAGGAGCTTCTACTAAAACCAAAGTTGTTTAACACAATCAGTGTTTGACAGAATATTTACAAATTAAAAATAATTTATAAAATATTTCTCTTGCCATATTTAAGAAGTTAAAACAAATGCGGGTCAACCTGGTATGTTTTCCTGTGTGTACAGAAATGCTATAAAATAAAAATGTAAAACAAAAAGTGAGAGGTGAAGAAATGTACAGCCCATGTACCATCAGATAAACTGTTACTAGTTTGACTTTAATCTGCCAACAACTGAGACTATAACAGTGGACAAAACCTTCAGTATGTTTCAGCTCTTCACAGGTCTAAGAGGATTCTTCTTTTGTTTCTGTGGGCTCACATGGAGCCGACTTTAGAGGCTCAGAGGGCACAGGTTTTTCTTTAGAAGCCGTGACCTCTGGAGGTGAAGCTAAATGTTCAGACTGTTGCTTCGGTTCAGAGGCTTTTCTGTCTGGGTCTTTACTGGTGTCCATGGTAACCACAGATGTCACACAAGACTGCTCCTGGCTCTTGATGTTCCGAAATTTGTCCATGTTTTCCAGTTCGGCCAGTCGATCATCTTGGTCCCACCGTGAGGTCCTTTCTCGTCGTTCTGACCGTTTTGGCTTGTCCCCTTTGATTTCGGGTGCTTTGGCTTTGTCCACATTTGCCCCATCGCCCCTGTTTCTTTCGCCGCCCTCCCCCCTGCCGCGTTCTCTCTCTCCATCCTCACCACGGCCCCGTTCTCTGTCCCTATCAGGGCTTCCTCGCCTTTCTCTCCAGTCTCGTCTACTTCTGTCCCGATCGCGGTCCCGATCGCGGTCCCGGTCTCTCTCCCGATCTCTCTCTCTCTCCCATCCTCCCCCACGCTGATTGCCTCCATCTTCCTGCCAACCCCCGTGTCTGTCTCTCCCGTCCATTTTGTCACCACCAACTGCCCTCCCTCCATCACCAAAAGAACGTCTACCCCCTCCAAAACCTCTGTCCCTGTCTCTATCTCGATCCCAGTCTCGGTCCCTCTCCTGCTCTCGATCCCTGAATCCAGGCCTGTCTCCCCTAAATGGTCTGTCATCCATTTCTTCTGGTTCTTCTCTAGGACCCCCTGGTCTGATAAATGAAGGAGGGGGGGTTGCTTGAGGGAGAGGTCCTTGCCCATGAGGGAAAGGAACCCTTATATTGTGTGGTGGGGGCATGCCAAAGCCTCCTTTAGGTGGAGGGGGCTCGTGGCCCATCATCTGAGGGTGTGGCCCCCGGGGTATCATCTGTGGAGAATTAGCGGGCATATTGGAGTGAGGTGGTCTTGGCCCATGGGGAGGAGGGAAACGCTGCATATGCTGCGGCGGTGGACCTAGGGGGCGCTGGAGTGGAATTATTCCGGGTCGTGCACCCAGTAGACCACTAGAGGGAGGTTGCATGTTTCCAGGATGACCACTTGGAGGACCACCGGGATGACTACCTGGAGGTCCTACCAGAGGACCACCAGGAGGTCTAACCAAAGGCCCACCAGGAGGCCTGACTAAAGGCCCACCAGGAGGGCCCACCAGAGGACCACCAGGAGGTCCAATCAAGGGACCACCTTGAAGACCTACCGGAGGACCACCTGGAAGACCTACCGGAGGACCACCTGGATGACCTACAGGAGGACCACCTGGATGACCTACAGGAGGACCACCTGGAAGACCTACAGGAGGACCACCTGGAAGACCTACAGGAGGACCACCTGAAGAATTAGATAATGGTACACCTAGGAGATGGCCTGGAGGTCCAACTGGAAGGGAACCAACCTGGTTACCTGTTAGGGAAATAAACAAAGGAATATCATTCACAAAAGTAAAAATAATATATTTTTTAAGTGGGTTAAAAACATCTAAAGCTAAATTAACCATTCTGGTAAAAAGCCAAGATTGACACACAAATAGGGCAACTAACTGACCAATGGGTCCCATCTGATTGTTGAAGATGTTGGGGCCCTCGTGAGCCTCATTTTTCTTTCTGCCCAGATCTGCCATGTCCTGAGGTGGCTCATCAACTCCACCTTTGGGAGGAAGTGTGGGACCTAGAGGCATAGGTCCTGAAGGGGGAAAGCCTAGAAGAGTGTTGAAAGGCATTAAGTTTCCTTTAATCCAGTTTGATACATTGCAGGAAAAAAAAGTTAATGATGAAATGACTTGTGTCTTTTTCTTTTTTTTGCAAAGTGCACAAGAGCAATTTGCTGTGGAGTTGATATAAAGAATCGCAAAACAATATATCAAATTTGCTATCCTGTGGCTATCTTCTGATAAAAAGTTGAAGAAACAGCAGCCCTACACTGAACATATCTTATTATTCAAGTCAACTACACTTCTATTTTGATGATATAATGGCTGTATGTTGTGATACCTGGAGGCATTTGCAAGGGGTTGAAGCCAGGTCTCATAAAAGGAGGAGGGGGCATGCCCCGAGTAAAGGCAGGCGGAGGCATTCCCATTGGACCGGGAAAGATGGGAGGTGGTAGAGAACCCACACCCACCATCGGCTGCTGCATTGGAGGAACCTGAAGACATTTATAAAACTTTATTGTACGCAAATGAAAAGCAATACTTCCTAATGCAACACAAGGCTTAAATAGTTTTAAATAAAACATTTGATACAAATACTTTTGTCTTAAAAAATGTTACATACAAGCAACTTATTTCAGCGCTTCACCAGCTTTTAACAGCAGTAAATCTAGACGTCACCAATTATAAAGAGAAATATAACTATTCCCGGAAATCATTTTATTGATCACATCTTTCATTTGTTGCCTACCTGAGCAGGAGGAGACACTACAGGTAGCACTTGAATCTCCTCAGGCTGCTGCTGCTCAGAACGGCCGTTGTGAGTGGGTTCCTCTTGGTGATCAAAAGGTTTTCGTGAACTATTCCATTCTAGAAAAAAACAGCCATTCCAGTGAATGGTATTACTAAACAATAAAACAAATGGCAGATGCTAAATTTATCACTTGGTTTAACAAATGATCACTATGCCCTTCTGATTAAACTTTAATTTCTCACCTGGTGACACAGTATCCGCATCGAGCATTCCTCCTTCTGTCAGATCCTCTAACTGGTCCTCTCTGATTTTAGACCAAGGAATGTAGGTGACACCCAACTCTACATTCCAGTACGGTTTAAATTCAGGCTTTATGCCCTTGTTCAAAGCCCAAGCAATCTGACAAGAAACAAAATAACATTAATAAAATAGTCTATTAATCAGTTTGTTATTATTAGACAACAATCCATACCTTGATTGCTTTCTGATTAACCTTATATGGTCCTCGACTGAGCTTCTGCAGAGCTCTGAAAGCATCCTCCCTGTGTATCATGACAATATAAGCACAGCCACGCGGAGGAATCATCTTAAGAGAGACAAGACAAAAAGAACGAGAAATTTATTTATTTATTTGGGGTCCTGTACTTTTTATATTCAGGTGAAGTGATTTGTGTGAACAAGAACATTTATAAAAAAAGGATGACAAATAAAACACAGCCAGCAAGCCAATGTCCCCGTCACTAAAGCTGCTTTGCCACTGATAAGGGCGACTTCACTCGGCTCTTGTCTTATCGATTCTTCTCAGGTATAGGTGATTTGCCACCGTGACTTGTCTCCTCGCTATGTGGGCGGGATTGTCAATACAATTGTGACTGGTCATTGTGTTCGAGCCACGCCGCCCGTTGTGGTCCTTAATTACCCTATGATCGAACTTTAGTTTCTTTAGCTTATCCCAGAACAGCTTATAGAACAGTGACGTAACATGTAACTCCAATGGCTACTAGGAATGCGCGATATAAACGGTACACGGTAGAAATTTAGCCTATGATAGAAATCTGTCTTCTACCGGCTACCCGCAGTAACGCTGTGTCTGAAGTAAAATCAAAGTTGTCAGTTTAATCGTTACTTTTTTTGAGCTGAAAACTGTGCGCAAGTCGCGTTAAAGTCTTTTCTTCGAGAGCTAAGTAGCGAAGCTACAAGCTAACTATCGCCGGCTTGCCGTAGGGTTGCCGTATTCTGACGCATGCGCAAAACGCTGTGTTCTGTCGAAAGTTTTGGTTTTTTCCATCGAAAATTAAAGTAAGTGTTGGTCAGCTTTAGAGAAACCCGCTCTCTAAGCTGTAAAAGAATGCTGTGTTGTGTGATTTTACTGCAAGACCCTCTGGTCAAAGCCACAGACACATTTTGTGTCAGCTCTCCATTAAAGTTAAAGGAGGCGCCCACTAGGGGTTTGGAGGGTGAAGTGTTTTCAGTGTAAAATGCTGCTCTGTTGCTGTTCATTTCTTAAGTGAGAAGACTGGAAACTGTGAAGAGTTAACAACATATTTTTTTGTTTAAAACATATGACTAAAATTACATATGATATCTTTTGCACTGTTTTGCGCTAAAAGAAAGAAGCCTAATTCTTGATTTGTTTATTATTTAAAAACTCTCTGGACCTAGTAGTGGAATTTTCTTAATTCAAAACATATGATGGCAAAAGGACACCCTATGCTTTTTTTTTTAGCAAGTTTTATACTAAAAACATATTGCGATATATATTGTTATCGCCACCCTTAACAAAACATATCATGATATGAATTTTATGCCATATCGTACATTCCTACTGGCTACTCAACGGCTGCTGCTTGCTTATGTCAATATCGTCACCATGGAGAAGTTCGCTTGGAACCATGAACAAGATGGTCCCACAAACGAGGCTGAGTGGGGATGGGTACCAGCACAAGGCGGCCAGAACACATCCCAGTTCTTGACTAAGGCCATGTGTCAAAGAGCCTAACAAGTCAGATACCCATTTCCTTAGTAAGTTATATAAGAGAGAAAAAAAGTAGTCCATACCAAATAAACATAAAATAAGAGTGCAAAATATCCTGATGCATGCTCAATAATCCAGGTAGAAAAATCCAAAAAAGTTCAATCTGGTCCTCTGGACATTCAAAAAAACAAAACAAAGTAAAACAACAAAAAAATGTAGAAACGTTTCGTCTCTCATCCGAGAGACTTCCTCAGTCTGAGGAGCTGTATTCAGCTCAGTCTCTTAAATAGCACCTTCTCAGAGTGGATCAACCAGTTTGCTGCTGACAACCAAAACCAGCTGATCACATGATCAAGAAGGACCATCAGCCTACCAATGGATCATTAGCACACTGATGGCTGTTTACTATTCACAGAGGGCTGAGTGATACTAGCAATCACAGCATTGTAAGAGGGGGACAATTGAACACGGAGGCCTGCACCCGTTTAACGATGGACGATTTCTTTTCACAAAGATGGCCTCCTTTACTCCTCTCTCAAACCATCGTTCCTCTCTGTCCAGGATGTGAACATCTTCATCCCTGAAAGAGTGACCGCTGGTCTGGAGATGAGTGTAGACCGCAGAGTCCTGGCCTGATGATGTTGATCTTCTGTGCTGGTCCATCCTTTTGGCCAGTGGCTGTTTAGTTTCCCCGATGTAAGACTGATCACAGCCCTCCTGACACTGAACAGCATACACAATATTACTCTGTTTGTGCCGGGAGACTGGATCTTTGGGATGAACCAGTCTTTGTCGTGATGTATTTTGGGGTTTAAAAGCCACTGGGACATTATGTTTAGAAAATAAACGTCTCAGTTTCTCTGATACTCCCTAAACATACGGAATGACCACTGGTCTGGGTTCCTCTTTTTCACCTGATGGCTGACTGGAGTCCTGTTTGGGTTTCTTCTCTGCTTTCAGAAAGGCCCAGTTAGGATATCCACATCGCTCTAGAGCCTGTCTTGTGCAGGATTTCTCCTTCTGCCTGGCTCCTAAGCTAGTGGGGACGCTGTCTGCTCTGTGATACAGAGTCCTGATGACTCCTAACTTGTGCTCCAAAGGGTGGTGGGAGTCAAACTGCAAATACTGGTCTGTGTGGGTGGGTTTGCGGTACACTTCAGTTTGCAAATGTCCTCTATCAGAGACTGAGACCTCACAGTCCAAGAAAGCCAACCTGCCACTTTTTACATCTTCTCGTGTGAACTTGATGTATTTATCCACAGAGTTGATGTGGTCAGTAAAATGCTGGACTTCCTGAGATTTAATTTTAGCCTAAGTGTCGTCAACATACCTGAACCAATGACTTGGTGGTGTCCCTGAAAAGGACGTCAAGGCTCTCTTTTCTACCTCCTCCATGTACAGGTTGGTAACAATAGGAGAAACTGGAGACCCCATAATACACCCATGTTTCTGCCTATAATATTGCTCCCATAGGTGAAGTAGGTTGACTGCAGGCACAGTTTCAAGAGTTGACACAGTTGTTCTGTGGAAAACGTGGTCCTGCTTAAAGGTAAAATTTTGGAGCAGGACAAGGCTATTGACCATATTCTGTACCACAGACTGTACCCAGGGGAGGCCACACCTAATCTGTATGGTTTACCTAAAATCCACAAACAAGGTGTACCTTTAAGACCTATTGTTGCCATGATTAACTCGGTCACTTACAATGTTTCCAAATATCTGGCGTCTGTACTCATCCCTTTAGTTGGCAGCTCAGAACACCACATACAGAACACCATGGACTTTGTGGATAAGGTGAGGGATGTCATCATGGAGACTGATGAAACAATGGTCTCTTTTGATGTCATATCACTCTTTATGTGCATTCCTGTTGATGATGCAGTAGAGGTGGTCAGTTTAAGATTAAAATCAGACACCACCCTGAGCAGCAGGACCACGCTTTCCACAGAACAACTGTGTCAACTCTTGAAACTGTGCCTGCAGTCAACCTACTTCACATATGGGGAGCAATATTATAGGCAGAAACATGGGTGTGCTATGGGGTCTCCAGTTTCTCCTATTGTTGCCAACCTGTACATGGAGGAGGTAGAAAAGAGAGCCTTGACGTCCTTTTCAGGGACACCACCAAGTCATTGGTTCAGGTATGTTGACGACACCTGGGTTAAAATTAAATCTCAGGAAGTCCAACATTTTACTGATCACATCAACTCTGTGGATAAATACATCAAGTTCACACGAGAAGATGTAAAAAATGGCAGGTTGGCTTTCTTGGACTGTGAGGTCTCAGTCTCTGATAGAGGACATTTGCAAACTGAGGTGTACCGCAAACCCACCCACACAGACCAGTATTTGCAGTTTGACTCCCATCACCCTTTGGAGCACAAGTTAGGAGTCATCAGGACTCTGTATCACAGAGCAGACAGCATCCCCACTAACTCAGGAGCCAGGCAGAAGGAGAAATCCCACACAAGACAGGCTCTAGAGCAATGTGGATATCCTAATTGGGCCTTCCTGAAAGCAGAGAAGAAACCCAAACAGGACTCCAGTCAGCCATCAGGTGAAAAGGAGGAACCCAGAACCAGACCAGTGGTCATTCCATATGTTGAGGGAGTGTCAGAGAAACTGAGATGTTTATTTTCTAAACACAACGTCCCAATGGCTTTTAAACCCCAATATACATTACGACAAAGACTGGTTCATCCCAAAGATCCAGTTCCCCGGCACAAACAGAGTAATATTGTGTATGCTGTTCAGTGTCAGGAGGGCTGTGATCAGTCTTACATCGGGGAATCTAAACAGCCACTGGCCAAAAGGATGGCCCAGCACAGAAGATCAACATCATCAGGCCAGGATTCTGTGGTCTACACTCATCTCCAGGCCAGCGGTCACTCTTTCAGGGATGAAGATGTTCACATCCTGCATAGAGAAGAACGATGGTTTGAGAGAGGAGTAAAGGAGGCCATCTTTGTGAAAAGAAACCGTCCATCATTAAACAGGGGTGGAGGCCTCTGGGTTCAACTGTCCCCCTCTTACAATGCTGTTATTGCTAGTATCACTCAACCCCCTGTGAATAGTAAACAGCCATCGGTGTGCTAATGATCCATTGTTAGGCCGATGGTCCTTCTTGATCATGTAAGCAAACTTGGCCTGTAAACAGTTGTCCATCCCGGTGTCCCGCGCCAGCTTTGAGCTGAGCGTTTTTGAACTCGGACACTCTCCTACGGTTCTGTGCGCGCTTGTCTACCGCCCACCTCGTTCTAAGGACTTCATAAATGAATTCTCTGACTTTTTGGCTGATATCACACAGAGATACACTCACTTTTTGCTTATTGGTGACTTTAATTTGCATGTGTGTTGTCAGGAGAAGCCCTTAGTGAAGGACTTTCTGGATTTATTGGGGCTCTTTTGGCTTAGCTCAGCAGGTGAGCGGCCCCACCCAGGAACATGGTCACACGCTGGACCTCGTTTTAAATCACTGAACAGTTCCGCCCCATCCTATCTCACTGATCTTCTGCAGCCATATGTCCCACCGCGCTCTCTGAGGTCAGCAGACCAGATGCTTCTCTCAGTCCCAGAAACCCGTCGTAAGCTCAGAGGTGACAGGGCTTTCTCTGTTGCAGGTCCACGACTGTGGAATGAGTTGCCACTGAGTGTCTGGCAGGCTCCCACACTCTCAGTCTTTAAGTCTCGCTTGAAGACCCACTTCTATTCGCTTGCCTTTAACACGGTGTGATTTGTTTTGGTCCGGTCTGTTCTCTACTCTGTTGGCCATTTTAGTTAGCTTCTGCTGCTATTTGTATCTGTATTTCTGTTTTATGTTTTCCTGTCTGCTGTGCATGTTTGGTTCTTTTGTACAGCACTTTGGTTGGCCTTGTTGCTGTTTTAAGTGCTATATAAATAAATTGGTATGGTATGGTATGTGAGCAGCTGGTTTTGGTTGTCAGCAGCAAACTGGTTGATCCACTCTGAGAAGGTGCTATTTAAGAGACTGAGCTGAATACAGCACCTCAGACTGAGGAAGTCTTTTGGATGAAAGACGAAACGTTTCAACATTTTTTTGTTGTTTTACTTTGTTTTGTTTTTATGAATGTCCAGAGGACCAGATTTAACTTTTTTAGATAAAATAAGAGCAAACAAATCAACAAGTAAAAAAAAAAGAAACACATTTATCACAAAGCAGACAAACAGTTATTCCAAATTTTACAAAAGCTTGAGGTATATCTAGTATCACTATATATTGCAGTTGACAAAGCTCTATTAAGTTTTTTATTTTTATTTTTTTTAGCCTTTTATTTATCCAGGTTAGTCTCATTGAGCCACGAGAACTCATTTGCAAGAGAGACCTGTTTTAGGGAGCACATGGTGGGGTTAAGGGCCTTGCTCATGGGCCCAGAGTGGGACGAATGAGGGTGGGGGCAAGTGTGGGTGCTTCACCTACCCCACCCACAATTTTGATGTTGTCGGGGCCGGGGCGTGAACCGGCGATCTTCGGATCACAAGCCCACCTCTCTAACCTCTGCGCCACCACTCCCCAAATTTCCCCAAAGTTGTTTTCTACATCCAAGTGGCACATAAGTTTATACATGAAGTTCCTAAGTGAGGCATGAAAAGTGAGAAGGGGTTCTCTGCAGACCAAAAGTGGGCGTTTCTGGCGAGTAGGCGTTTATGGGCGGCGAACACTGATTGGCTAACAGTATTTAATAGGCGTTTGTCGGCGGCGAACACTGATTGGCTGTGGGTAACCCTCAAAGTCACGAGGATTATTGATGAGGTAACGTTTCTTTGCGATGTTTGACAAAGAAATATGATTTATTGTACTTATAAAGCATGTTATGTTTTCACTTATGCATATTATTGAAGTACGTTTATTGTAGGTCACGATAGTTTCGACCGTTCTCTCGTTGTTGTCGTGCTTTAGAAGTTTAGCTCATGTGAAAACATGGTGGGAATTCCCACGCAGGTAACGCACTGAGGTAAAGTGAGCCTCCACTCGGCTCCCAGCTCTCACTGTGCACGTTTACAACAACTGTGTGGTGCTTTTCAAAATAAAAGCTGAAAATAAAAGTTCTTAATACTTGAAAAATAAATATTTAAAAGCTGTGTATAACTGAAAAATATGAAAAACAAATAAATAAAAGTTGTTATTAGCTGAAAAATAAATAAATAAAAGCTGTTAATTATATTTATGTCTTTCTGCCATGTCAGGAACCACTCTCACTTCAGGCTGACTCTAGAAGACCTCAAGATGTTGCTCAAAAACTTTGACCAACATCTGATGTTGACTTTCAAAATAAACGAAGAAGCCTGAAGTATTTCAGGCTGAGCAGAGAAAGCCTTATGTAATTTCTGTCTGCTTCAGCTGTGGGGAAGAATTTAAAGACTGTGCAGGTTTCTGGGGCAGTGGCAAAAGAGGAGAGCTGAGGGCCTTCTACAGTGAAGCCATTACTCCTGGGTACTGCACCCACTTTTGTGCCATGGATGCAGGGTTAGTAGTCCAGCTTTTGTACTGTGATGCCCACACATTACAATAAGTAACAACTAGCAACACCCTAACTGTACTATGTTCTGTGTTTCCAACAGATGCTATGATGACTTCTAAAAATGAATGTCCCAATAAACACAATAAAAAAAATTCAATGATGCATCAAATGTTGTCTGAGTATGTTTTAAGGTAATAACAAATGTGAAATCTGGAAAACAAAGACAATTCCCGAATCTGTCTTGTGTGCTTTGATGTGTACATAAGTTTATTGGAGGTCCTGAAACAACTTTTCTGAGAACACAAAGATTTTTATTTTACCTTTGGCCAAGATGTCCGTTTGAAATCAGGCTGCTTACTGCAAAACCAAGAGTTTTTTTTAAGACAGACAGTCTTCATTTGTATTGTTTTGTCGACTAAGTTAAATTTAATTTCTAAAATATGGATAAATCTGATCTCATCATGCAGCATAAGCAACTGGGTATAGGTGTGAGGGCCAAAAGTCTGGTTATGTACTGACTCCTAAATGTGCTTTTTTCTACTGAAACATGGAGTAGGGTTGAACTTTAAAATGTGAGACAGCTGAGGAAGTTAACCAGTAAACAGAAATACCTGCTCCAGGTGCAGAAATCTTACAGAAACTGACAATCACTCATCTGTAGTGACGGCAAGTTGAACAAGAAAATGTGAAGTTAAAGGAAACATCCTTTGTCCCAAGGCCAGTTTAAGTATCATTTATATTTTTCTTTCTTTATGAATCGATTGTAACTTTTTTCACATTTTTCAACAACCAAAATGGAATTTGTTTTTTAATGTTACGGCTAGGTATTAAAAAAAAACTAACATTTAGCTCTCCCCACTACACAGTTATGTTGCTCTTATTTTGAAATGTAACCGGAAGTTCTGTGTTAAGAGAGGCGAAAAAAGAAGTTATGGAGACGCCGCGGCAGTATACTGGAGCAATGTCGAACCGAGACGCCGCCAGTGTTGAACCTGAGACGCCGCTAATGTCGAACCGGTTAACACCATAGACATAATATGCCTGTGGTTAACACAATCTGCCAATAACGTTTTTGTTTTTAGACATCATGTGTCTGTGGTTACGGCATTTTATCGTTCAGCCTTTTTTTCTATCGTCCAATCAGATGTGGCCGGCCAGACACGCCTATTTTTTATCGTCCAATCAAATATGGCCGGCCAGACACGCCTGTTTTTCTATCGTCCAATCATATGCGGCCAGTCAGACACGCCCATTTTCATATAGTCCAATCAGATATGACCGCCCAGATACGCCTACTTTCCTATAGTCCAATCAGATATGATCGCCCAGATACGCCTTCCGAATTTGCCTGCAGAGATACCTACTTGTGAAAAGTTGGGAATGTTGCTCATGACAAACATTTGACTTGCAGATGTCCATCTTGGAAGTCTGAGGAGGATTCTAAATGCATCCTGATAGGCTATTTGCAGTTTCTTCATTATAGCTTTACTGTAGTTACACAGGAGGTGAGCCGTATAAAAGGAGGTCCAATAAGTTCGGAAAAGGGACACGTTAACCTCATCTGTACACATGCTAAGTTTACGTGCCAACATATTAGCTTGCATGTACAACTTGCAACACTGTCGCTTCACATCATCATCATCACAGAGATCACTCCTTAGAATATGACCTAGATATTTCACATTATTCACCACGTCCAAAACTTGATTTGCTAAATAAAAAGAAGGAAAATTCATCTTCTGATCTTCCTTAGTTGTAGCAATCATAACAACATGCTTCTTAAAATTAAACATTATGTCAAACTGGACATTATGTTTAATTTCTTGACTTATTTTGTAGTTCACATTAATATTATAGTCAGAGTTAAACATGTACGGTCTACAAATGTTTACTTACATTGATTGATTCTATTTGCCCAAACTCCTCCAGCAACAAAGCAACATCTTGCTGTAGTGTTCTCTTGTCCAGCTGACCAACCCAGAGAGTTGTACTACAAACTGAAAAATAGAGGGAATATTTTATAGAACAGGAACAACAGATAAATGATAAAACCTAAAACACAATTATATTGTTCAAACAAAGGAAAAGAAGAACACATTGTGCAGACAAACTATCTTTGTTGTCATGTTTCATGTTTGTAACTAAACGGTAAACAGATGATGACTCACTGCTGAGTGTCTCGCTCTTGGGTGGTGGAAGACCTTTCTGCCGCCTTTCTCTCTCTCTCTCCCTCTCCCTGCGCTCCTGTGAGCGAGCATGTGGGGAAGAGTAACGGCGGTCTCTGGAGCGAGATCGCCTGAACCTGGACCGCCGAGTACGGGAATTGGACCGAGACCTTCTCCTCTTTGGAGATCTAGAGGTTAAAAAAAAAAAAGTCCCACTATGTTATTAAAAAAAAGTGATACTTATATACTTAAAATTTAACTGCAAAATGTAGAAAAAATATGAAGTCTGAATGAAGAAACAATTCCTTTTTCAAATTCTCACCTGGAGCCTGAGTGAGACCTTTGACTGTGCCGGCCATCCCTGACTGATGAATGGTCCACTTCCACCGAGGAATCCTAGACAGACAAATAGAAGGAGGCAAACTGTGATATAGAGCGAGCTAAAGCACATTTAAAATCGCATCCTTAATAATGAAAATTATTATTTGTAAAAACAATAACAGTAACATGACAACTTGTCCCCCTTAAAATAGCTTGATAGGTTTAATTTTGTACTAATTTTTAGCCCACCTGTTTTTGCTGGGGTGCATTTTGGGGAGCGTAACCCCCTAAGAAACCTGGAGGTCCAGTGGGACCAGGAAGGGGCTGCCCTGGCAGAGCATGGCCCATAGGGTGCATCGCAATAGGGAAGCTTTGTCCTGGTATTACACCACAAGCCTGGAGCTGACCATTAGGAGGCAGATGAACCTAAGAAAGACAAACGTAACTAAAGAAAAGATTTTCTGGAAAAAAAAAGTGTGCATGAAATGCATCATGCCATTCCCTGATGTTGCTTATGAGCATGCTTCAACAGAAGCTCAAATTCAGGCCTGAACGCATTCGAAACCAATACGCCTTTACAAAGAAGTGACACAAGAAATGGGAGTTATAGCATCATCTTCTGATGGTCATGAACATTTAGAAATTTAAAAACCTAAAATAATTAATAATGGTAATATTATTATCATGGGAAGGTGATATTGTTATCAACTTCCCATGGGTTCACCACCTGTGGGAGGGGCCAAAGGGGTCGGGTGCAATGTGGGATGGGTGGTGGCCGAGGGCGGAGACCCTGGCGGTCTGATCCTCGGCTACAGAAGCTGGCTATTGGGACATGGAATGTCACCTCACTGGTGGGGAAGGAGCCTGAGCTGGTGTGTGAGGTTGAGAGGTTCCGGCTAGAAATAGTCGGACTCACCTCCACGCATGGCGTCCTTGAGAGGGGTTGGACACTCTTCCACTCTGGAGTTGCCCTGGTGAGAGGCGCTGAGCAGGAGTGGGCATACTTATTGCCCCCCATCTTGGTGCCTATGTGTTGGGGTTCACCCCGGTGAATGAGAGGGTGGCCTCCCTCCACCTACGTGTGGGGGGACGGGTTCTGACTGTCGTTTGTGCTTATGCACCAAATGGCAGTTTAGATTATCCACCCTTTTTGGAGTCCTTGGAGGGGGTACTGGAAAGTGCACCTCCTGGGGACTCCCTTGTTCTGCTGGGGGACTTCAATGCTCACGTGAACAATGATACTGAGACCTGGAGGGGTGTGGTTGGGAGAACCCCCCCCCCCCCGATCTGAACCCCAGTGGTGGTGGTGTACTTCTGTGCTCATCATGGATTATCCATAACGAACATGTTCAAGCATAAGAGTGTCCATATGTGCTCTTGGCACCAGGACACCCTAGGCCACAGTTCGATGATCGACTTTGTCATCGTCTCATCTGATCTGCGGCCACATGTCTTGGACACTCGGGTGAAGAGAGGGGTGGAGCAGTCCACTGATCACTACCTGGTGGTGAGTTGGCTCCGATGGTGTGGGGAGGATGCCGGTCAGACCTGGCAGACCCAAACGTATTGTCAGGGTTTGCTGGGAATGTCTGGCAGAGTCTCCTGTGAGACGGAGCTTTAACTCCCACCTCCGGGAGAACTTTGAACATGTTCCGGGGGAGGTGGGGGACATTGAGTCCGAGTGGGCCGTGTTCCATGCCTCTATTGTCGAGGTGGCTTATTGGAGCTGCGGCCGCAAGGTTGTTGGTGCCTGTCGCGGCGGCAACCATCAAACCCGGTGGTGGACACCGTCTGTGAGGGATGCTGTCAGGCTGAAGAAGGAGTCCTATCGGGCCTTTTTGGCCTGTGGGACCCCGGAAGCAGCTGGTGGGTACCGGCAGTCCAAGCGACATGCGGCTTGGGTGGTCACTGAGGCAAAAACTCGGGCATGGGAGGAGTTCGGAGAGGCCATGGAGAATCCCTTCCGCACGGCTTCGAGGCGATTCTGGTCCACCATCCGGCGTCTCAGGGGGAGAAAGCGATACGCCACCAACACTGTTTATAGTGGGGGTGGTGTGCTGCTGACCTTAACTCGGGATGTCGTGGGTTGGTGGGCAGAATACTTTGAAGACCTCCTCAATCCCACCGACACGTCTTCCACTGAGGAAGCAGAGCCTGGGGACTCTGGGTCGGGCCCTCGATTCTCTGGTGCTGAGGTCATCGAGGTGGTTAAAAAGCTCCTCGGTGGCAGGGCCCCAGGGGTGAATGAGATTCGCCCGGAGTTCCTTAAGGCTGTGGATGTTGTAGGGTTGTGTTGGCTTGCGCGACTCTGCAATATTGCGTGGACATCGAGAGAAGTTCCCCTGGATTGGCAGACCAAGGTGGTAGTCCCCCTATTCAAAAAGGGGGACCGTAGAGTGTGTTCCAACTACAGGGGGATCACGCTCCTAATCCTCCCTGGTAAGGTCTATTCGGGGGTTCTGGAGAGGAGGGTCCATCGGATAGTCGAACCTCGGATTCAGGAGGAGTAGTGCGGTTTTCGTCCTGGTCGTGGAACACTGGACCAGCTTTACACTCTCAGCAGGGTCCTGGAGGGTGCGTGGAAGTTTGCCCAACCGGTCTACATGTGCTTTGTGGACTTGGAGAAGGCGTTCGACCGCGTCCCTCGGGGAAACCTGTAGGAGGTACTCTGGGAGTATGGGGTACCGGGCCCTTTGATATGGACTGTTAGGTCCCTGTATGGCCGGTGTCAGAGCCTGGTCCGCATTGCCGGCAGTAAGTCGGATTTATTCCCGGTGAGAGTTGGACTCCGCCACGGTTGCCCTTTGTCACCGATTCTGTTCATAACTTTTATGGACAGAATTTCTAGGCGCAGCCAAGGTGTTGAGGGGATCCGTTTTGGTGGCCTTAGGATTGCGTCTCTGCTTTTTGCAGATGATGTGGTCCTGCTGGCTTCATCAGATCGTGATCTATAGCTTTCGCTGGAGCGGTTCGCAACAGGGTGCGACACGGCCGGGATGAAGATCAGTTCCTCCAAACCCGAGGCCATGGTCTTGAGCCGGAAAAGGGTAGAGTGCCCTTTCCGGGTCAGGGAGGAGGTCCTGCCCCAAGTGGAGGAGTTCAAGTATGGGGTCTTGTTCACGAATGAGGGAAAAATGCAACGTGAGATCGATAGGCGGATAGGTGCAGCATCTGAAGTGAAGCGGGCGATGTACAGGTCTGTCGTGGTGAAGAGAAAGCTGAGTCAAAAGGCGAAGCTCTAAATTTACAGATGATCTACGTTCCTACCCTCATCTATGGTCATGAGCTTTGGATTGTGACCGAAAGAACGAGATCTCGGATACAAGCGGCCAAAATGAATTTTCTCCGCAAGGTGTCTGGGCTCTCCCTTAGAAATAGGGTGAGAAGCTCGATCATCTGGGAGGGACTCAGAGTAGAGCCGCTGCTTCTCCATGTCAAGAGGAGCCAGTTGAGGTGGCTCGGGCATCTGGTTAGGATGCCTCCTTGACGCCTCCCTGGTGAGGTGTTCCGGACACATCCCACTGGGAAGAGACCCAGAGGAAGACCCAGGACACGCTGGAGGGACTATGTTTCTCGGATGGCCTGGGAACGCCTCGGGATTCCCCCAGAGGAGCTGGACCAAGCGGCTGGGGAGAGACAAGTCTGGGCCTCCCTACTTAGGCTGCTACCCCCGTGACTCGACCCCGGATAAGCAGAATAAAATGGATGGATGGATATTATTATCACTTGTATTAGATGTTTGTAAAAACCTGGACATTAATAGTGGAAGAATTTGACTTAAAATGCACAATAAATCATACTGGTTTGTTGTGAATGTAGAACTGAAGAGGATTTGTTTTACCATGCTGATTTTGTGACCATTAATGTGAGATCTGAAATCAGGTTGGCTGGTTCTTAGCAAGAACTTAACCTCTGTACCAAGCTGAGGCTAAATATGTTTTAAGAGTTGCATTTTTTTTTTTTTTGGTAAACCGTGTAGGGTTGAATGATAAATAATTAAATAAAGTAAACATAACATGTTTGTTGTTCAATTTTTTTATATTTTATTCTTTATTATTAATATTTGTTTCCACACAAAGGGGCCCTTGAGCGTATTATCTTAATCAAATATGTACAATTTTACACATTTGTATTGTTGTTCAGTTTTTGACTTAAACTGTGATTTGAAACGAGGTTGTCTGATTTGTTGGTGAGAACTCGTCCTGTGTGTCATACCTTCACTTTAACGGAATGCTGTCATTGTTGAATTTTTTTTATAAATGAGGCCTGAGCAGGCAGCACGGTGGCGCAACTGGTAGAGCTGCTGCCTCTCAGCGAGCAGGTCCCTGGTTCAAACCCCGGTCCAGGGGCCTTTCTGGGTGGAGTTTGCATGTTCTCTCCGTGCATGCGTGGGTTTTCTCCGGGTACTCCGGTTTCCTCCCACAGTCCAAAAACATGCATGTTAGGCTGATTGGTAACTCTAAATTGTCCCTAGGTGTGAGTGAGAGAGTGAATGTTTGTTTGTCTCGTTTGTCTCTATGTGGCCCTGTGATGGACTTGCGACCCGTCCAGGGTGTACCCCGCCCCTCGCACAGTGATTGCTGGACATGGGCACCAGCGACCCCCGTGACCCAAAATGGAATAAGCGGGCAAAGAAAATGGATGGATGGATGGAGGCCTGAGCATCTCTCGTTAGGTTATTTTGCTGCATAGTCAAAACCATGACAGAGGTGACCAGAGACTTAGGAGAACCAACATACAAACCTCTGTTCGCACCATCCTTCCCTTGATTGAATCATGTGAGAAAATAATTTTTTTTAAAGCATAACTAATTTATTTCTTAAAACTATTTTTAAAACTGTACAAAGTAGAATTATTAAACTTTAATATATATTTTTTAATCTAAAACAACAATTAAAGTCATATTAAAATCTTATTAGTAATATTATATTAATAACAATCTTGAATGCCCCCCCCCCCCACTTGTCATTGTTGTGATGTGTCAGATTTCCTTGAAACATCACCCAAGAAATACTTGTTTAAATTTCGCCATAATAAAAAAACTAAAAGGATTTAGTTTGAAACATCAAATCTCCTTGTTTTAAAAAAATTGTTTACCTGTTGAGCTAGGTCTTGGGAAATATTCATCATTTGTGTGTTAAAGTGCTCCATGTGCTGGGGAAAACCTGGAGGCTGTTGCATTCTGTGACAATAAAAACACTTAATATTTATAACGGTTTCATTTTTACAAAGCTAAATCACAACTTTTCATTGGTTGTAATCATATTTGTGCTGTGGGTGTATTATTCATACTAAAACTGGACTTACGCAGGAGGCTGTGGGACCTCATCCTTCTTAGGCTCTTCTCCAGCTTCTGGTTCATCATCATAATCAAAACGGTCCAGAATCGTCTAAAAAAAAAAAAACCCATTTATTTAAAGATGGCATTAACATTTGTTAAGAATTTTTTCTTATTAATGTCACATAACGCAAGCCTTAAAAGTGTATTTCTGTCAACTAATTTATTGTGACATTTGAAACTACAGTGCAATATGGTGCTTCAAATAAAAACACACACCGTCACCTTGTCAAAAGCCGCTTTCTGTTCAGCAAGCTGCATGGGGAGAAGAGGTTGTGGTGAGGAAACAGGAGGTTGTGGCACGACCGCGCTCAAACCAGCAGAGGCATTCTGAACTGGTGTTTGAATGGATGGCAGTGGAGGCTGCGAATTGGTTTCAGGCTTCACTGGCTGCTGATGGAAGTTCTGGAGCATCTGCTGAAGCTACAGTCCAGTGACAATTAGCGGACGTAGAATTATAGTTTAAGCAAGGCACAGGCCGTGACAACAGCAGTAAACATCTGTAAATGACTGGAGCCAGTGTCAGTCTGTTTTAGCACGAACGCACCTGCTGACCATGTGAGGACTGGAAGAGCTGTGCCACAGCTGCAAAGGCATCAGAACTGTGCATCTGAGGAACTGATGGTGATGGTGCGGTAGAGTTGGATGTTACCACAGGAACTGGCTCTTGGGCTGGAGGTGGTGAGGAACCTGAAGAAAGAGGTGCAGCTTGAGCGTCTGCACCATAAAGATACTTTTAGATGTCGGCACCAACCGAATCCTCAGCAGATCAACAGCCCATTGAGGGATGCATTAAATACTTCTTTATTCATACCAGTTTTGAAAATAAACTAATAATGCTTAGCAAAAAAACAAAACAAAAAAAAAAAAAACGCTACAGGTAAAATCTGGTTGAAAGTTCTACCTATACAGTTGTGTTTATAAATTATTAAAAATGAATAGATGGCTGTACAATGCTCACAATCATATAAATTACCAGGCTCATCTGTGTTTATGAAAGATGCAGCACCACTGCCAGAGCCAGCTGCCATGTCCAAGAGGGGCTGAATAACTTCAATCTTAAACACCCCATTCTTCTGCCACAGGTTCAAAACTCGCACAATCTTGCTCTACAGATAAAAATACACAAACAAACAAAAATTCACCAAATTTGCCAACAACGTTCCAGTTTTTCTAGAATTAAAATAAAAACGCCACCTGTTTTATTAATTCTTACCCTGTCCTCTATGGGGCAAAGGCAAAGGTTCTCAAAAGTTCCTGTGATGTTTTTGGTGAACCTTGGACCAAATACATCTTTATCTGATCCAAACTGGTGTCTGGACTGCCTAACGATGGAATCCACCACATACAGACCTGCCACCTTATACTCAGGCTTACACTGGAGAAATCAGACAAAAACATCCAGAGATTTCAGATTTCAGTGTTTTGCAACGACAAACTGGTTGGTGAAACACGGTGAAACAAGTTCGTCTTACCTTTTTGATGAACTTTTCAACAATCTGGACCACATGTTTGTAGAGCTGAGAAAAAAAGAAACAAGTTAATATTTTCATCAAGGCTCAAAAATATAATTAATTTAGACAGAATTAAAAAAAAACGACTGTTCATTTGAACAAAGAGGCAAATTGATTCTTACCTTCATAGCTTTGATGGCTGATTTAGTGATGGAAATCATTTTTGCCCGAGATATTGGCGGTTTAGAGTCCATCAGCGAGAATAACTACACAAAGTAAAAAAAAAACAAAAAAAACACAAAGATTAGATGGACAGTCAAAGCATAGTAGAATAAAAATTTGTTAATCAACTGGGTTGTTTTTCCAGTGCATTTTCTTTCGAACCTTAACTCTGACTTATATCAAACAGATACAAGTCAAGCTCCTTAAATTTATTGCCTTCATAGGAACAAGTGGTAGATCGAAATGTGATGCATGCGCTGCATAAATGTGCATTTCGACGAGAATTGTGTTTTCTAAACTTGTTTTTTGAGCGCCACATTTAAGAATCGAACACTTCAGCCCATCATCATATGCAACTGTCATACTATTCTAATTAACAAGGCCTCCTATTGCAATTCTACTTTTTTTTTTGGCATTAATCAGGTCATTTAAAGGAATTTTTTTTTGCTTGTGTGTGGGAGTTGCACACCTTCGTGTCTAAAATGACTAACATTTTGAGAACGGACCTTACCCTGCTAGATGAATGTGAACATATCTTAAAAGAGAATCACAGAACACTGATGTCTAGCTTAAAGTACAACTACAACTTGACCTCTAATTATTGAACTCATCAATGGAGACACACCCCAAAAATGAAATAAATAAATAAAAGGAGTGTAAATTGGACTGTAGTCTTTTTCACAATATGGCCCTACAGCAAAAACAATCCAGTCTTAAAGATGCAGGTCAACCAGTTACAAACATTTAGCCAATGTAAAAACAGCTTGAATGTAGGCCTGTTGCAATAAACAATAAACCAATTAATCGCATGATAAATGAAAATTAACGACCTCATTTTCATTTATTGGCTTTATCGTTTCTTCGTGTCTCTCTTTCTACTGGAGACTGGATGACAAAAGGATCAACCCCGGTGCTCTTCACTGACCACTTTCTCTTTAAAATCCATTTTAACTGTGCAAAATTGTGTTTTTGGTTCGTTAAAAGCATCTAAGCTGAGAAGCTAAGCTACGAGCTAAGCTAAGAGGCCGACCTCGGGGAAAAAACCTCTGTCTTGTCAAAGCTACAAAATTCACGGTTGAAACTCGTGCCTTTGTGTAAAAAGTTGTTTTTCTCTGCAAAAAGAAGCTGAGAATTTGTTTACTGATTTTTTTTTATTTATTTAAAGCTTTGCGTGAAAAATGCTATGCTAAAGAGCTCAAACCACACTTAGCGTGTGCCATTTTGAGAACCAAAGAGAGACAACCCATGTCATGTCAAGGGGCCTCCCTTCCATTTTTCTTCAAGAGACACATTGCTCGCTCCCTCACTACCCATCATTTGGTTAAACAGTCTTATACTGCCATCTGGTGGTCGAAAAAGGTACTATATGCAAAACAAATTAACCAACATTTCTTTTTAAATTTGACACAATTACGAATTATTGTCACATTTCAAACAATATTATCATTTATTGCAATAATTTCTGAGACAATTAGCCGCTCAGAAACATTTGTCATCATGACAGGCCTACTTGAATGTCTAAAAAAGGGCATAAAATATGCTTCCTTTTAAAATATGTTTACACCTCAACTCTGCCTCTGAAAGAATAATTGTCATTCCTACCATGTAGGAAAAGCTGCTCGAATGCAGACAAAAATTCAGACGTGATAATCAAACACACAAAGCCACCTAAAAAAAAAAAATAATAAACAAAGGAGGTAATGTCTGATGTTTTGCACTTAGAAACTTTCTCTAAGACTCCTAGTTATACAAACCGGATTCCAAAAAAGTTGGGACACTAAACAAATTGTGAATAAAAACTGAATGCAATTATGTGGAGATGGCAACATCTAATATTTTATTCAAAATAAAACAAAAATCACAGATCAAAAGTTTAAACTGAGAGAATGTATCATTTTAAGAGAAAAATATGTCGTTTCCTAATTTCATGGTGTCAACAAATCCCAAAAAAGTTGGGACATGTCCATTTTTACCACTGTGTGGCATCCCCCCTTCTTCTTACAACACTCAACAGACGTCTGGGGACAGAGGAGACCAGTTTCTCAAGTTTAGAAATAGGAATGCTCTCCCATTCATGTCTAATACAGGCCTCTAACTGTTCAATCGTCTTGGGCCTTCTTTGTCGCACCTTCCTCTTTATGATGCGCCAAATGTTCTCTATAGGTGCAAGATCTGGACTGCAGGCTGGCCATTTCAGTACCCGGATCCTTCTCCTACGTAGCCATGATGTTGTGATTGCTGCAGAATGTGGTCTGGCATTATCGTGTTGAAAAATTCAGGGTCTTCCCTGAAAGAGATGACGTCTAGATGGGAGCATATGTTGTTCTAGAACCTGAACATAGTTCTCTGCATTAATGGTGCCTTTCCAGACATGCAAGCTGCCCATGCCACAAGCGCTCATGCAACCCCATACCATCAGTGATGCAGGCTTCTGAACGGAGCGTTGATAACAACTTGGGCTATCCTTGTCCTCTCTGGTCTGGATGACATGGCATCCCAGTGTTCCATAAAGAACTTCAAATCGTGACTCATATGACCACAGAACAGTCTTCCATTTTGCCACACTCCATTTTAAATGACCCCTGGCCCAGTGCAAACGTCTGAGCTTGTGAAGCTTGCTTAGAAATGGCTTCCTCTTTGCACTGTAGAGTTTCAGCTGGCAACGGTGGATGGCACAGTGGATTGTGTTCACTGACTATGCTTTCTGGAAGTATTCCTGAGCCCATTCTGTTATTTCCTTGAAAGTGGCATTCCTGTTTGAGGTGCAGTGATGTTTAAGGGCCAGGAGATCACGAGCATCCAGTAGAGTTTTACGGCCTTGACCCTTACGCACAGCGATTGTTCCAGATTCTCTGAATCTTTTGATGAAGTTATGCACGGTTGATGATGATAACTTCAAAGTCTTTGCTATTTTACGCTGGGTAACACCATTCTGGTATTGCTGCACTATCTTTCTGCGCAACAATGGTGGAATTGGTGATCCTCTTACCATCTTGGCTTCTGAGAGACACTGACACACTGAGAAGCTCTTTTTATACCCAATCATGTTGTCAATTGACCTAATTAGTGTTAATTGGTCTTCCAGCCGTTCGTTATATGCTCCATTTCCTTTTTCCAGCCACTTATTGCTACTTGTCCCAACTTTTTGGGGATATGTTGACACTGTGAAATTTTGAATCAACATATTTTTCCTTTAAAATGTTACATTTGTTCAGATTAAACTTTTGATCTGTCATCTATGTTATATTACGAATAAAATATTGACATTTGCCATCTCCACATCATTGCATTCAGTTTTTATTCACAATTTGTTTAGTGTCCCAACTTTTTTGGAATCCGGTTTGTAGCTTAAAGACACATTTTAAACAATATTTAAGCCCTGCTTTATTGTAGGGCTGGACGATATGGCAAAAACTTTTACCATGATATATTTCTTAATTTCGGTCGATAACAATATAATTCCGATATTGATATAAACAATATAAAAGCCTCAGGAAAACTGTATAAATAAATGAATATTCACCTTTTATGTGTTTTTAACCTTCAAAGAAATTTAAAATCACCGTCAAATAACATAAAACTCTCAACTTTGTCAATAATATTAATGGTTTGAACTTTAAACAACAACATAACCTAACGTTTGCTGCATGGGTTTCTCTTTTGATACAGCTGGGGGTGGTGTTTCAGGGACACGTTGGCTCAAACTTTTATTGTGCTTCATCTTCTGACTCTCAGCGTATTCTATCGAGTGGAACAAGTTAGATGTGTTCCCACCGCTAGTTGGAACGACTCTCCGTCACATTTTGCAGCACATGAAACCTGCAATTTATCGGATCTTAGAAAGACGAACCACTTCCACACCGCCGAATTAGTCTTTCCTCTCTTATCAATTATGTCATCTGCTTTCTCTTCGCTTGTGAAAGCTTGTTCAGTGACATTCTGACGGTCATGGGCACTCATTTTGGAGCAAAAACTTACCGCGCGTTGGAGTTTAGCCTAGCCTGCTACCGCTAACTCCTTGGAGCTGTGGTGTACATCACCACGCAATTATGTAGTTGTGTCGCGGCTTTTTCTGTCTGGGTTGAAACGGAAGCGGCCGCTTCAACCTGAACAGAAAAAGAAATGCATCAGTGAAACGCTGTAATCATAGCGTAATGCATATTGAAATATCAAAAATGTGCTTACAACTCATATCACCGTTATTGAATAAAAGTATATCGTGATATAAATTGATATCGAATTATTGTCCTGCCCTACTTTATTGCATTTTTAATAAAGTCTAAAGACTGGTTTATATTGCATGATAAGTACTTAGTTGTGTCTCACTGTATGACAGAAATTGCGTACTCTTCTACTCGCACACCTGCTGAGACCCCGTTTTGTGCATTGCCCCCTGTCAGAAGTAGTTTCTTACTGGGGAAAAGCCATGCATTGTCTGATTAACGGTAGTCAGAACCGTGGGCGTGTTTGTTTATGAAAAGTGGCTGCAATCTGCTAAACTCTGAGAGCAGCGTCTGCTTATGAGCAGCTGACCAAGGCTGTTAGAAAATACAGCCATTGTTACAACTGTTTCAGCAAAAAGATGAAGAAAGTCAAATAAAGCTTAAAAAAATATAGTGACAGAACTTGTGCAAGGAGACTGGACCATTTCTGTGCATGCAGGAGGCAGCACAAAGACACTCTTGCACACACACACACTAGGAGCAGTGTGCTTTTAAACTTAAATATATTATGCTCATTCCTAGGGAAATATGATTGTGATTATTATTTGTGACACAAAGTGTAAAAGCTGTAGAACAATTTAGGAGTTTAATGATGTAAAACATTGCTGTGTCCACAGCAGCTTGATGTAGCATGAATGATGAACAATATAAATTGCAAGAAATACCAATTCTTCCTGTAATACAATTTAAAGTTAACAGAAATTTTGAGCTGTACAGAAATTAAAACTGTGCTGTCAGGGGTCAGTAAATGTCAGAGGTAGAGTCTGACCTCTACTGGAGAATCAGACAAATTCCCCACTGAGATCCAGTGACTAAACCATGAGGTGACCGACGTAAATGAAGCATACTGCATTGGTTCACTTCCAAAATCCAAACATGATTAGTGTGATATTGAAATAAATAAAATCAGGAAATCAGCTGAGCATGATAAGTTAAAGGCTTTGTGTTAAACTGTAAATGATTTCTGGTGTTTTTTGTTTATGGTGCACAGTTCAATTCCCAACTGTTAAATGACACCTAAACTTAATTAGCACCGATAGATCATTTATGACTTAAGGTAGAATCCTCGCTTCGGTTAATGCTATGCTCTCCATTTACAAGGAGGCTTCTCCCTTCCCTGCTTATCATCACTTCTACCCAGGTCACTGTCCGGATGACTCAAAAGGTATGTGTCGACATTAAAGGCTCTCTTATACTTCTATTAATCTGTCTGACGCAGTTAAGACAGTCTTTTCCTCATGGATTACTCAAGTTCAAAAGAGAACCTGCGAGGGATAATTGGCATGACGAGACATGTCAATCAATCCAGTAGTCTTGTCAGCAACTGACAAATGGATGATCAAAGTTGAACGCCCCTTACCTGCAGGAAACCCCTGGCCCCCACCCTTTTCCTCTGACAACAGTCAGGATTTTGTATTGTGAATGCTTTTCAGTTAGAGATGTGAAAAATCATCTGAATAATTGGTTATTGTCAGTGGGGACCATGCAATTCAAACATGCTACCCTTGAGCGTTTAGAGGGTGGAATACAGTTTATTCCATTTCCAAACCTAAACTGAGTCTGAAAAAAATGCAAAAGATGGATTAAGGCTGGCAGCTGACCTCATGAGCAGCTCAATACGACTGACCGGAACTACCACATGTTCAACTGTATGATGGTAACTGCAAGTAAATCCTCCATTTTTTTGTCATCATTACTGGTACACTGTATGCTTTATGGTTAAACTGAAAGTTAAAGCTTAACGCTAGTTATGCTTTGTTTTGTATGTTGATATATAGTTTAGTTTTTGCTTGCTATGATCAGTTCACACTCAATCGATTTTGTATAGCGCGTCTAATAGATTGTGCAATGTCAATTTTACACTCTTAATGCATACTCAATTTCACTGTAAAGGCTCCCACATACTCGGGCGTACTGTGTGTACTCTGTGAGCCGCGCGGACTCAGCGCGTACTGTCTGCAGACGGTTAAGACTTCATACTCGAGTGTACACCCTGATGGGCTATAGCCCAGCCCTGCAGGTAAGGAGTGTTTACCTTCGGGACAAATTGAGGTCGCCGATTGGTCATTTGCTGACATGCCTACTGAATTTATTGACAGGTCGCATCACGGATCTGACTTGTGGAAAAAATATATTAAAAAAAGAGAGCTGCTGGCGGTGTAGAAGCAGGGCAACTCAGGAGCAGGGGTGTTCTGTGTTTATACGTTGTTAATAAAAAGTTATAAAAAAATTAAAAAAAGTGGGGGGGGGGGGGGGGGCCGCTGGCCCTGCAGCCCACACATCAGACAGGCCCACTGAGAAATTTCCAGACCCTCCCGATTGAACAACTTTGCGACTGGTTGCTTGGAACAGAGTGGTTGGTGTCACATACTAAACAGTCCGTCGCCGGGTAGTTTATTGTGCAACACAGAGTACACGTACGCAGTCATAAAAATTTATCTTTGCGCGGACTTGGCCGGCGGACGTCCATGTTGAGTCTGCCTCGAGTACGCATGGACCTCTGCGTAGTTAAGTACACCCAAGTATGTGGGGGCCTTAAGGTAAAAATGCCTCAGGTAATGACATGAGCTCCCTCTGCCATTACAGCCATCCTGTTTGCATGTCAGAGTTTATCTCACCCTAGGTTATATTTCCACATGGGTGGAGTGATCTTACCATGTCATGTCAATTCCTGATAAACCCTCCCACTGCAGCACGTCATGTGCAATTAAAATCAACACAGTGTGGTTTTCAGAGTGGACATTTACTTTTAATTTGCTGATGGAGGAGTTGGAGGGGGAAGATCTGGTATTTCTGTTGTTAACCAAGGAAAAGTACTATTTTGTAAATCAGTCACAGATATGCTGCCACAGTTTCTAACAGATGGTGCTGGAACGTGCCCCTATGCTGTTCAGCAGAGAAGCACTCCCTCCAGGTCAACACAGCCATGGAGAGTCGCCGGTTTTAAGTCTCGTCTCCTGCATGCACAAAATTGTCAAATCTCCTTCCAGGAGTTATTTTATCATCTTCATAAGATTTATATGACATTCATTATAACTTTTACTGGAACAGTTGTAATGTGGGCTGTATTCTCTCACATTCATGGCTAGCAGCTACTTTCAGATTCTGCTCCACATACCCTGTAAGAAACTAGTTCTTACTAGGGGCAATGCGCTAGACCGGGTGTGAGCAGGTGGTAAGACAGGCAATCTACCACAACTTATCCACTGGGTGGGGCGGTTCCATCACATACCCACGTCAGCAATACACAAGACTGGCCCATTTCATTGACTTAAGCTTAAGAGCTGTGTTTCTATCCATTTCCCAGTCCACACTGAAAATGAAACTAAGTACAACACCTGCTGCACATAAGCTGATAATTGCGATGCCCCACTCAGCTCTCGTCTTGTTGATTCTTCTCAGATGCAGGTGATTTGCCGCCGTGACTTGTCAGTGTTTCCCCTACCATTATACAAGCGGGGCGCCCCGCCCTGTCAACAGAACCGAGTGCCCCGTCTAGCGAACCCCACCCCCCACCACCTGTCGGCACTGATGTAACGCTAAACTAGTGGCTCGCAATGCAGGTGCACTAGCTAAAAAGCTAAAGGCAGCCTCTTCCTTCATGCTGAACCCTCACGCTGAACGCACCCCTGCCACTCGAAAACTGTCGGTACAAACAGCGCATGGCTCAGATGTGCGTCTGTCTCTCCCCCCGCCAAAAACAAAAAACTGTCGGTTCAGACAGAGCGCGGCTGAGATGTGTGTCTGTGTCTTTCCTCTCACACACCCTGGTCTAAAACTATAAAACTGTCAGTGCAAACAGCGCACGGCTGCCTCTGTGTCCCCCACCCCCCCTCTAAAACTGTTGGTTTAAACAGCGAGCTGCGCAGCTTGGGACGAGTCTGCGTTCACCCCCCCGGACGAAAATCACAGACGAGATGAGTGCCTCGCCATGGCAAGTTATCTAGGTGAAACACTGCTTGTCTCCTTGTTCTGTGGGTGGGGTCATCAATGCAAAGTGGACAGTACTGTAACTGGTCACTGTATTTGAGCCACTCTGCCTGTTGCGGTCCTTAATTACCCTATAATGGGACTTCAATTTCTTTAGCTTATCCTAGCACTGCTTATAAGTCCGGGCGTAGTCATGTTGTGCCATCATCTTCAATATCTCTTTGTAAAATGTATCATTTCTTGTGGCGCCGTCACGCTCACGCTGAAGTCTAACATTGGCCAATAAAGTTAGGAAGGTCTTACCTCATCATTGGTCCACAGCAATTTTTTTTTTTTAGAGCTTCCATACCAGAAACTTACAAAACAACACACACTCAACATGAACCAAAAGAAATGAAAATTCAGATATAGTTAGCAGTTTTGCTGAGCGAATCATCCTGTGATGTAGCTGTTGGCCAATCAATGGCTGCAGTCTACTCGCATCAAAATCGTCCCCTTGGCGCAGTTCACTTGGGACCATAAACAAGATGGTCCCATAAACCGAGCTTAGTGGGAGTGGGCACCGGCAGTGGGCAGGCCCTTAACTGGTGAGGTGTGGTGCGGAAACGATGCCTTGAGACAGTGGCAAAATGCCACTAGACACAAATGTTACAGCAAATCTGAGCATTCAATTTCCAACACTCAGGGAACAGATTCTAATGACAGCAAATTGTTTATCTGACCTCTTGTGGACTCTTTAGACATGACTAAAATAACAAAATAAATCCTGTGAATGTTTGATGGTATGGCTGAAGCCCCGCCCACCACAAAGCCACGCCCCCAAAAGTGTTTCGAAAACACCACCCCTCAATAAAATGTCTCCTTAACTCTTTTGCTCCTGTTTTTTTTTTTTTAAAACCACGCTAATCAAATCACAGACACAATTCTAAACATTATAGTTGGCTACATTTTGCAGACATTCCACACCAATTAATATTCATTAACAACAGCTCCTTCAACAACTGATGTAGCAGACAAATTTCTATTTAAACTGCAATTTGTAAATATGACTATACAAATTTTAATGGGTTTTATGATGAGGACCTGAACTGACTGGCTGAAAGATTGTTCGATCAATGTTTATCACTCGGTCACAACAGTGACTGTTTAATCATGAAGGCCTTGATATTAAATTTTTAAATTCTAATATTAAAAAAGCTGTCGTTGAAAACGTTGGAAAAAAAAACCAACAAAACCAATAACACGGGAGCTGTTTTGACTGGAAATATGATAGCGATAAATCCACAGGCCTTAGCTTGGCCTACCTGCTCCTAGTTTACAAACACATGTTTTGCATATATTACTGAAACAGCAATAAACACCGATAATTGAGGCAGTGACTTTTAATTTTAATTCTATGCATGTTTCTGTTAGCTGCACGTAGCGCATCATGTTGTTGGCATTCATAATTTACTCCTACTTGCTAGCACCATGACGGTGGGACGGTGAAGTTGCGAATGACTGCATCATTCATGTTAGCTTGCTACAAGGTAGAAAATGCTGCCGATTGATTCAGTATGGTTACTTCCGCTACAGTAGCACAATATATATTTGAAATAATCAAGACTAGAGCCGAAGATGATGTGCAGGTACTAGGGCCTCAGGGCCGACCTGCTTGGCTAGCTACATCGCATCACAGCGGCACCATCATGACCAAAACCTCCAGACACGGTGAGTTTAGGCTCTTTGCAAGCAGCTTACCTCCTGGTTAAAGGCGTTGACGGCCTCCATGATGGCCAGGCGTCCCGGGCTTTTCCCTTGACTCCCGAATCCCTGATTACAGCGATGTATAAGCAAGGAAAGATCCGCACAACATGTCCGCTCCAACTAGCTAACGCCAGTTAGCCTAGCATAGGCTGCTTTCGGGTCGGCGGGCAAGGCAAAGCATGATGGGATTCAAGCTTGTTGTTCTTAGTTCTGTCCACTAGATGGCGCAGTGCGCAAACGCCAAAAGTGCAGAACGTGTGTGTTTATTTTATAGCAGTAGTGTCACTCAAGACTTATGGAGCAGTATGTTATGTGGGGTTGGCTTCAGGCTCAGGGAATTGAACAGCAGATCTGACTTCAACAATAATAAATTGTGGTGTTTATTTTCAAAACTCTAAAATAGATTTTTTTAATTAATAACCTAATTTTACTAGGAAATATCCTGATGCATGCTCAATAATCCAGGTAGAAAAATCTAAAAAAGTTAAATCTGGTCCTCTGGACATTTAAAAACAAACAAACAAAAAAAAAAAGCAAATCAACAAAAAAAATGTAGAAACGTTTCGTCTCTCATCCGAAAGACTTCCTCAGTCTGAGGTGCTGTATTCAGCTCAGTCTCTTAAATAGCACCATCTCAGAGTGGATCAACCAGTTTGCTGCTAACAACCAAAACCAGCTGATCACATGCTCAAGAAGGACCATCAGCATAACAATGGATCATTAGCACCCTGATGGCTGTTTACTATTCACAGAGGGCTGAGTGATACTAGCAATCACAGCATTGTAAGAGGGGGACAGTTGAACCCGGAGGCCTCCACCCCTGTTTAATGATGGACGGTTTCTTTTCACAAAGATGGCCTCCTTTACTCCTCTCTCAAACCATCGTTCCTCTCTGTCCAGGATGTGAACATCTTCATCCCTGAAAGAGTGACCGCTGGCCTGGAGATGAGTGTAGACCGCAGAATCCTGGCCTGATGATGTTGATCTTCTGTGCTGGGCCATCCTTTTGGCCAGTGGCTGTTTAGTTTCCCCGATGTAAGACTGATCACAGCCCTCCTGACACTGAACAGCATACACAACATTGCTCTGTTTGTGCCGGGGGACTGGATCTTTGGGATGAACCAGTCTTTGCCGTAATGTATTTTTGGGTTTAAAAGCCACTGGGACGTTATGTTTAGAAAATAAACGTCTCAGTTTCTCTGATACTCCCTCAACATACGGAATGACCACTGGTCTGGGTCTGGGTTCCTCCTTTTCACCTGTTGGCTGACTGGAATCCTGTTTGGGTTTCTTCTCTGCTTTCAGGAAGGCCCAGTTAGGATATCCACATTGCTCTAGAGCCTGTCTTGTGTGGGATTTCTCCTTCTGCCTGGCTCCTGAGCTAGTGGGGATGCTGTCTGCTCTGTGATACAGAGTCCTGATGACTCCTAACTTGTGCTCCAAAGGGTGATGGGAGTCAAACTGCAAATACTGGTCTGTGTGGGTGGGTTTGCGGTACACCTCGGTTTGCAAATGTCCTCTATCAGAGACTGAGACCTCACAGTCCAAGAAAGCCAATCTGCCATTTTTTACATCTTCTCGTGTGAACTTGATGTATTTATCCACAGAGTTGATGTGGTCAGTAAAATGTTGGACTTCCTGAGATTTGATTTTAACCCAGGTGTCGTCAACATACCTGAACCAATGACTTGGTGGTGTCCCTGAAAAGGACATCAAGGCTCTCTTTTCCACCTCCTCCATGTACAGGTTGGCAACAATAGGAGAAACTGGAGACCCCATAGCACACCCATGTTTCTGCCTATAATATTGCTCCCCATATGTGAAGTAGGTTGACTGCAGGCACAGTTTCAAGAGTTGACACAGTTGTTCTGTGGAAAGTGTGGTCCTGCTGCTCAGAGTGGTGTCTGATTTTAATCTTAAACTGACCACCTCTACTGCATCATCAACAGGAATGCACGTAAAGAGTGATGTGACATCAAAAGAGACCATTGTTTCATCAGTCTCCATGATGACATCCCTCACCTTGTCCACAAAGTCCATGGTGTTCTGTATGTGGTGTTCTGAGCTGCCAACTAAAGGGATGAGTACAGACGCCAGATATTTGGAAACATTGTAAGTGACAGAGTTAATCATGCTAACAATTGGTCTTAAAGGTACACCTTGTTTGTGGATTTTAGGTAAACCATACATACTAGGTGTGGCCTCCCCTGGGTACAGTCTGTGGTACAGAAAACGGTCAATAGCCTTGTCCTGCTCCAAAATTTTCAGGCAATCTATTAACTTTTTCTTGTAACCACTTCCTGGATCTCTTTTCAGAGGTTCATAAGTGTTTAAGTCACTAAGGAGTGTCATAACTTTCTCATGATAGTCTTTCTGGTTCAAAATCACTGTGCACCTTCCTTTGTCTGCTGGGAGAATGATGATGTTTTTGTCCTTGCTAAGAGTGGTGAGTGCATCCCTCTCCTCTCTACTGATGTTGGAAGGTGGTGGTTTTGCATTGCTGAGGCAGGATGAAACTTTGATTCTGAGCTGTTCTGCTTCAGCCTCTTTAATTTTGTTGTTGCGGATGGCTGACTCAGTAGCTGTGATCATCTCCACCAGAGGAATTCTACTTGGTGCAACCGCAAAGTTCAGTCCCCTGGCAAGAATTTCTGTCTCTGGCTGGGTGAGCTGTCTGTCAGATAAATTTTTCACCCACTTTTCTGTCTCCCTGGAGTGTTGTCCTACACTGAATGTGTTGTTATTGGAATAGTGATGGTGTTGACGAGCTATTAGTACATTAAACTTGTTTTGTTGTCGAGTCTTGGACTTGACATGCTGTGCTAAGCGTGCCTGATCTGTACAGTCCAACACTTGCTGAAGTGTGGCCTGATCTAGACACGTTGTTAGTTTCTGTTTAATGTGCTCAAAAGCCTCCACCCTCATTTGCCCCACTCTGGGCCCCTGAGCAAGGCCCTTAACCCCCACCATCTGCTCCCAAAAACTGGTCTCTTGAAAATAAGTTCTCGCAACTCAGTGAGATTACCTGTATAAATAAAGGGTAAATTAGAAAATTATCAATAACTTTGATTTTATATAACCTCTACATTTGTTCCTCGTTATGTAAATATTATTTTTTTGTATATATAATTTTTGAATGTATATAGCTCAACCTGTGAAATGTAATTGTTGATTTGTATTACATTATTCGCCTTGGTTTGTTTGTAAATTGTTGTTCATAATAAAAATGTATTTAAAAAAAAGTTTACAAGCAAAAGAGCCATTTTACGCATCTCGAGAAAAAAAATGCACATAGTCATCACACCTGCTGAAGCTCATAACTTCTTCAGAGTGGTCACAGGTATCTTGGAGGCCCCTCTCAATGTTCTCCTTGCACAGTCACTCACTTTATGAGGATGACCTCATCTTGGTAGATTGACATGTCCCAGGTTTATTCCAGGACATTAAGAGCCTTGAATACCCTTTTAGATGCATCCTCTGACTTGTACTTTTCAATGTTATTTTCTCTGAGTTAAATTAAGACAGTCACTTTAAGGAGGGTGACTACTTATTTTACATTTTATAGTTTTATTTAATTTGTATTATCCTGTAGAAATTGGATCTTGATATTGAAGAATGGTTTTTGAACTTCATTTTATAAAAATCCCAATTTAAATTGACCGTGATTGATTTGTGACACTAAAAAAAGCAATAAATAAATAACATTAAGGCGGTGAATAGGTTACTACTTCTTTTCTGAACCTGTTGTCATGTAGTACAAGAATTCCCCAATAGATGGCGCACTTGCAATTTTAGGGTTCAGCCTTTGTCCAGACGAGACATTACCTAAACAAATATCAATCAACCTTTATTTATACAGGTAAATAAGTCGCAGCTGAAATTAAAATATATATTTTTATATATTTTACATGAAATCCAAGTGAAATTCATGACATTGAGCTCACTTAGAGTTCCTGTAATTATGTTTGGGGACATTTTGCAATAGTTTAACCCAAACTAAGTAAAATAATATTCACTCTAGGTTTTTTTTTTAAATTCATTTATTGTTTGATTTTGAGTAATGATAACAAGATAATTAGGTCAGTAAATTTCTTGACAAATGAACGCCTTTCCTTGAGGTGTAACGTTTTGTCATTAAGCTCAGTTGATTAAAAAAATCCACCCATAATTAGGCCACTAAGACAAGTATGATGTACAATTGGGCTATTTAAACTAGAAAAGAATACGTTTATTTCCCCATTACAAACACACAGATTTATGACTGCATTGACTTTTTTATTTTAAAATGTTTTGGTGCGCAGCGCGTGCGAACATGTTTTTTTTTTTGTTTTGTTTTCACGTACACACTGACGCTTAAAAAAAAAAAGGTGTAATTAAAAAGTCAGGCACCAGACGTGCTGTTTAAAAGAATGAAAAATGTCTATAAGTGTCTACAAATGTACCCTTTGTTCCCGTGCATGTGCAGCCTGAGCGCGTACCCGGCGTACAGTACAGTTGTTGTCACCCTTGTTCTCACACATGCTCCGCCCACCTGAGCTGATTGGATCCAGGTCTGCCCAAACTGCCAGCATCCTGTTTGCCCCGCCCACCTCATGCTAAAGACACGCCCACACACCGAACACCGGGAAAGTCACTTCAAAATAAAGAACACGCCGCGCGCTCGGATCATTCAGCAGACGCTCATGTGCGGAGACTCCCGCTGACTCTCACTTCTAGAAGACATCCTCGCGCAGCTCATAAGACGGGCTGTGTCTAGTTTAAGAAGCTTGCTTGTAAAACTGACGCCCCTTTTCCTCTCTTTGAGCCATTACTAATCTGATCCAGTTGTCTCAGAACCTGCTGAGCGCACTCTCCGGACACTTTGAACAGGTGGCGCAGCTTCTCCATTCGTCTTTTACGCACGAGCGGACTCAACGGACGTTTCGACTTTAGCAGGATACCTGCCATTTAACAAGGTGGGCGCAAGTAGAGCCGAGGGTCTTCTTCTCTTGTGGAAGAAGCTTGACAAAGAGCTGAGGCGACCATGAGCCACGGGTCGCAGGATGGGAAGACCTCGAGCAACCCCGAGGAGGAGAAAATCCTCGCGGATTCCTTGCTCAGTCCCGAGGCGATGGTGGTCAAGAGCTTTTACCACACCAAGCGGGTCGGAAACTACCTGATCGGCAGGAAGCTGGGAGAGGGGTCGTTCGCCAAAGTTAGGGAGGGTCTCCATGTTTTGACGCGTGAGAAGGTAAGCTGCGGCACAACTGTGCGTAAAGCTCGTTTAATGTTTTCTCCCCTTCTTGTCACCTAAGTTAACAGTAATTTTTAAGATTTGGATTTTAAGAAAAAAAAAAACAAACCTAGAGGTATGAATTTTTCCGAGTTTACCCAGATTTGTATATTTGTGTCTGTTTTCAGTCATTGACTCTTGCTGGGCCATGCATTCCTTTCATGACACCCAAAAGGAAACAACTTTTTTACCTAATTGGCTGAACCATCTATTATTTCAGCTGTTGGTCCGGTTAAATAAGTGAAAGTGCTCCTGTTTGCAGAAAGAGCCTTTTATTAATGAGCTCCTGCGGCACCAGCAGCTGTTCAGCTCACGCGCAGCAGGGAAGACTTGAGCAAACAAATGTGCATGTCTGCGTAAAAAGTGAGCCGGAGCTGAAGTGTGCGCGCTGTGCTGCAGGACCTCCGCTTTGTCTGCTGCTGCTGGTGAGCTCACTTTCTGTGTGCGCGCGGGGCTGTGATTGGGACAGAGGGCAGACTGTCCGGCCTATGAGGGAGCAGAACCGCTACTTGCATATGAAATCGTGTCGTTGATAAATGGGCTTTGGATCTCATTAGGATTCTGCAAGCGCAAGAGGCTTTGATATGTCCACTGGTTGCCTTTGTCTCTCCTTTCCGTTTTTTTTTTTTTTTTTTTTGGGTTTGTTTTTTTGGGGAGCAGCCAGGATATTTGCATCTTTGGAAAAGCAAGCACCTCCCTCACACAGCATGTTCCAACTCGTAAAGCCTATGTATATATTTTAGGGGCCAAAAATATGACTAACTGAAAATAAACACGTGTCTGATGAATACATCTGAATATTTTGACCCCCCTCCTTACCCTTTCTGCTGAAGAAAAAAAAAAACTCTCCCTTTCCCCACTCTTTACTCCCAGCCTTTGTTTGAGGATGATGCAAACAGTGGCAACCTCACAACCAAGCATCTCTCATTCATTTGAAGGCGTCCAACAGGCGCTGCTGGGAGGGAGCTCAGGGCAGTGGGTTCATTCAGGCACGAGGGTATTCAGGGGTAAAGGAGATGCATTAAGTCCTATACAGTCCCTTTTTTTTAGATTTACTAGAAAGACAGGGAGGATTTAGGCATGAGGTAAATGTTTAATGAAAGTGAGGCGTGTGATCCCATCATGACCAGGGGGCTGGGGAGGTTACATGTATGTTTTTGTTGTCTGTAACCCACTTTCTCCTTCATATGCCCCTCCTCCACAGTGTACCTCCATTTTTCTGTCTGAGGGGTGTCTGATAAACAACCAAATCCCCCCAAAGCCCCCCGGCAAGACACACCCCTGTCCCTATAACTCCCCACCAACTCCACCCCATATTCACGACTGTTAGCTCATTACATCCCGTGCACACCCCTTCTTCCTTCAACTGGCGCAAACACGGCGACCATTTGTAACTGTCAAGTGAAGGCACATTGTCCGCACGCACGCACTTGCAGGCGTGCATGCTCAAGCAGCCAGGTTTTAATTAGCAACTGCAGAAAAGGTTCTCAGAGGTGAATCAATTATCGGGGCGTAAAAACGATGCGAAGGACAGGGCATAAAAACAAGCTGAAGGGGAGAAGAAAGAGCAGGCACCATTTTTTTTGCTGTGCCGTTAATGGATATGGTGATTTGTTTCATTTGCCATGCTTGTCCACGTCTATGAGTTCCCCTTGAGATGATTTGTAATGCATGCTAGCCGTGTTCTTGAACTCCGTCTAGACAGGCTACAAGGAGATTCAGGCAGAGGGTGAACTAGAGGAGATGGCTATTTTATTGAATGCAATTACTCGCAATCGTCTGTCATTGAAGAAAGAACACGACTTTGGCTTTTACGAGGACATTCTGCAAGTTTCTTCATGACCAGAAGTAGCAGAGACAGACATTATACCCTGTGACGGGTAATGAAAGAAAAAACATAATAACAGCTTTGAGTTTGCCTCTGCTTTTGTCACGGCCTTTCGTGCATTTTTAGCTGCAACTTAACCCTGAAGCAAATGGAGGTAACACACACCATGCATTTGCTTTAGGCACCTACACATCTAGAATAACATTTGTTTTCTTTCTAGTTTATGATGGTTCAGTAACCTCTCTGGCTCTCTCATGCACTCACACTCCTCCCCCTCTTACAGTCTCAGGGCCCTTTAGCTCATACATCGCCCCATACTGAGAGCAGCTGTTTGGGAGCAGTCAGTGGCGTTATGTATCCTGCAGTCCCTCATCGCCTGAAATCCTAACTTAACAGATGCAGTAATGTGCCACTTGAATAACTCATGAAACACAGGGTTTAAGAAACAAATCCCAGCTGTCAAAGTCCACGCTATTTTGCAAATTCTCTTCTCATCTTCCTACGCTCTTCTTTTCCGTATTTCTTCAGGTGGCGGTGAAGGTAATTGACAAGCGAAAGGCCAGGAAGGATTCTTACGTTATCAAGAACTTGAGGAGAGAGGGCCAAATCCAGCAGATGATTTGCCACCCCAACATCGCCCAGCTGCTGGACATCCTGGAGACGGACAACAGCTATTACCTAGTGATGGAGCTGTGTCCAGGCGGGAATCTCATGAACCGTATCTACGACAAGAAGTGCCTGGAAGAAAGGGAGACGCAGAAATACATCCGGCAGCTGGTGCTGGCTGTTGAGCATCTGCACAAGCTCGGCGTGGTGCACAGGTAAAAGCAAACCAACAAACAACAACGTATTAAATCGCCAGAATACCAGAACGCACGTCACCACCTTGTTATTGGAAACTCAGAAAGCATTGTGTTGTTTACCACAAACACAAAAATCTTTGTCAGATAGTATCCTCTTTATCAACGTGTAGATTAGGTCTATCCTGTGCACAACAATGTGTAGTAAAGACCAGATCTGTTATAACTTGTCAATAGCTGCATGGTTATCATTTCAGGCTATCTTACACATTATTGAAAGAACTTTCCAAGCAGTAGTACCGTAGTAGCAGTGCATCTATAATATGTTGAATATTGGGTGCCGAGATGGTGCAGGGGCAGGGCAGCCGACTTGGGACCCGAAGGCCCCGGGTTCTATCCCAGTCATTGCACATCTCGTGGTGTCTCTGAGCAGCACACCCTATCCCCAGCTGCTCCTCGGGTGCTTTCCACTGCTCCACCTGGTGGTGGATGGGTTAAATGCAGAGAGCCAATTTCGCCATTGTATGGGAACGTACAATGATAATACACATTATTATTATTATTATATTATATTTATTCAATTTAAAAAACATATTTTGTACATTTCATCCAAACCTTACACATCAATTTATTTTCCTGGAGATATTAAAGTCTCTGTTGCTCAATTAAGATAAACGCAGACTGTACACGCACTGAGCTCTCTCGTATCCTCCTTTGTTTTACAGAGATCTGAAGATAGAAAACCTCCTGTTGGATGAGCAGGACAACATCAAGCTCATAGGTACATTAAAAAAAGCGTCTGAATGTTTCCTTTAATTACATATTTAAGTAATTTAGTTCATAAATCAATCAAAAATATTATAGTAAAACAAAAAGATTGTCACTGTTTTCACCTTATTGTCGTAATAATGAGGTTAACGCAACTAAACATCCTGTTAAAGCTCTTTCTGCTTTTGTCCGTTTGTCTGTCTTTGTGACAAATGAATGTTAAAATAAAACAAGATTCACACTCACACCATCTCCTTTGCCTCTTCTCAGATTTTGGCCTCAGTAACGTTGCCTTCATCTTGGGATACTCTGACCCCTTCAGCACTCAGTGCGGCAGCCCGGCCTATGCTGCTCCTGAGCTGCTCTCCAGGAAGAAGTACGGACCAAAGGTGGATGTTTGGTCCATGTAGGTTCACTTTCATTTTGACAAACTTAATCAACACATTTGTTAACGGCATGCAGAGCTTAATGAATTTTGGTTTTCCAGTGGTGTGAACATGTACGCGATGCTGACTGGGACTCTGCCTTTCACGGTGGAGCCTTTCAACCTCCGAACTCTGCACCAGAAGATGGTGGACAAGGAGATGAAGCCTCTACCCCCTTCCCTTTCCACCGGTAATAAATCCAAGTGCAAACGTACAACTGTTGGCTTTATAAACTGAAGTTTTTCTAAAGACTGAGAAAAGACGAAAAATGAGTAGGCTATATCTAAAAGTCATCATTTTAACGTCACTAAATAAAACTCCTGCAAATCTGTTTTGTGTATTATAACCTCCTATTATATATATATATTTTTTAATTTGCATTCTCTAAAAAATCTTGGGAAAGCAAAACCACCCCGAAACAACCCATTCATGTAGCTGTAAACAAAAAGCACAATAGACTTACCAGAAACTAATCACACCCAGACAAACAGCTAAATCACTGGCGCATGATAACTCTCTCTCTGCATGTCACAACAGTCTTACCTGCCTGCTAATATGCAAACCAATTAATGGCTTGACCCAGTTTTTAGACATCCAATAATCACAGTGATGACACTGGAACCTTATTTGAGCTATGCAGCAGAATGAAGGCTGAGGAACTGTCATAAAAGAAGCAGTGATCGGGATGTGATCGTAAAATATGGGGCTAATAATGTGGTATTTTGGTTATGTATCAAGAGAATGGGATCGTGAAACCTATAATGCTTCACGTTTGAGTCTTTACAGAAAGAAGGCTGGTGAAGCAATGTAAGATTTATTTCCCTGTCTTGTTTCAGCTGCCATCTGTCTGCTAAAGAAGCTTCTTGAGCCAGACCCCAACAAGCGTCCAAATATTCACCAGGTGATGGCTGACTCTTGGCTGCAGCTTGCCAACAAGAACACAGGAACACCATACCTCAAGAGGTAGCCCCACAAACATTTGAAACCCTTTCAGCAGTAGGTTGTACGACCACAACTTTTAAAGCATAATAGCTTACTGGTTTTTTATTTATTTTATATTTTCTGTGTTAAGGATGCACATTGAAGAAGTGAACCACACCGTTTTAGTACATATGACAGAGAAGATGGGCTATAAGCATAGTGAAGTGCTGAGTGCTGTTCTTTGCAACCGTGCCTGCCACACTTTGACTGTCTACTACCTTCTCAAGAAGAAATTGAAGAGACTCTCTACAGAGTACAGGGTTAGTATGACTGCAGCTAATTACTGTCGCATACCTGAAAGTCAAGTGCCAAGACCTGTCGCATGCTATCAAAAGAAACAATCTGTACGTTTCTGCACAGTATGTTTTCTTGAGGACTCATACGGTTATAAAATAGAGTTGTACAACAGGTATGTCCCTTTTTAAAAACACGTGTGGATCTTGTGTTCTTAGGAATCGCAGCTCCAGGAGAAAAAAAAAGGCGAAAAGGAGAATAATGAATACTTCCAGACCCAGTGGAGGAAGCACGTTGACAAACTCACGATCCCCCCTAAACAAACACCCATCTACCTGGCTGTTAGCAAGGGAGCCAACAAGGAAAAGAAACACAAATTAGGTAAAGATCCATTTCATTTGGTGATTTTATTTTTATTTTTTTTTACAAACACAAAACGTTACATTTGATACAAACACTTCCATTTGATTTATTGCTTTTTTTTTTTTTTTTTTGCCTTTTTCCCCACATAGGGTAGGTAGACTGAGCATGCACGTTCTTGTACAGCAATGACCTGTCTCATACACATGTAGTTTCCCTGTCATCCTTCCAACCCTCCGTCCAACCATCAACCACCCACTCATCCACCCACCTACTCATCCACCTGAGAGGAAACATCCTGGACAACTTAACAGTCATTTGTGGTGCAAAGACACAAATCCTTTATTTTAACCCTGATAACGTGTTACAGTCAAATAAAATGATCCAGAGAGCATGGGACCAAAGTAAGTTTGAATCTGGAATTAAACACATTTCCAACCAACGAGCAGATGTCTGTCAAATCACACTTTAAAGTGCACCTGCAACAGACAAGCCCAGAGGCCAAACTAAAACTTACGTAAAATCCTTTCTCTCTTTACAAGGTATTGAGAAATCCCATAGGCTCTTTCTGAACCAGGTTAAGACTGGGGCAGATTGTTCTGTACACCCATAAATCACATACAGTCAAACTATTGGCATAAAACCTGTACGTGTAAGCCCAATGGCTAAACGTATGAGTAGTTCTAGTTCTTCCATTTTCATTCAGGTTTTTTTTTACAAGATTATGAAAAATTCCACGTGTACGTTTTAAAATTAATTAACTAAAATACACTATTTCCTTTTCAGGTTTATTAAGAGCAATAACAGTGGGTCATCGTAAATCACCTCTGGCACCACCTGGCACAGTTGCTTCGTCATCCATGGAATACCTGGAGATCCATCCTCTCTTTCCCAATGCTCCACAGCAACGAAGGCGCCTTGCCACCCTCCCGCCAGTCAACACAAGTCCGGAACACAACATTCCTGCTCCTCCAGCTCCATCGCCAATTGGCATGCATTCCTTTGGATCACTTGTCAAAGCTGAACAAATTGAAGATGTGCCTACGTCACCCTGGTACAAGTTGACCAATGGTACTCTGTCACCGCCACGCCACATCTCTGCCTTTCAACCTGATTCATCTTACTTGAAAAAAGCCACAATCCCAAGTCCTCCTATTCTCATTGCCAACCCCCAGCCCAAGAAGGTCTTATCATCAGATATGTGTGGGTCTTCAGACACCAGTGGAAGCCCCCCAAGCACTATAGGGAGCCCTCCTGGAACTTCAGCTTTTAGCCCTCCAAAGTCTGCCTTCAGTCCACTTAAGCCCATTTCAGCATTCAGTCCTCCCTCCACCAGCGGGAACAGTGATCAGGGGAGCCCAACACATCGCAGCAAATTTCCCTCTATGGGAATAGGACACATGCTGAAGAAGAAGGTCCAGCTGGAGCCATTTGAATTCCGACCACAACAATGTGTAGAGGAAGTGGTGTCCCCACCTCCTTACCCCCTGAAAACGCTCCTGTGTGCTTCAGGTGCACTTAAGACCCTCTGCTGAGCGATGCACGAAAAATGGACAAAAAAACAAACAAACAAAAAAACTGACTAAACTCAAAGCCCCTCTCAACAGTTTGTTGAAGTTGGAGACGTCTTTCAGAGTGGCCTTTTGAACTGTGAACTCTCCCTATATTGCCGAGCTACTTTTTATGGTACATTTCATTATTGAAAGAAGACAAAAGTCTGAAAATTTAACACATTTAACAGTTACCTCTTATTACTTGTTATGTATTAAAAGGTGACGACATTGAGAAGATTACGTTTGAGCAATGACTAAACCTCGTTGTGTCCTAGATACAGAGCCTTCTCAACCCATGTACACACACATGTATTATAGACCAATGTATAGGTGTTCCCTTACGTATTTTGCTGTAACTGGTTTCAGATTAAGCAGCAAACTGATTCTCACCAGCTAACAGGCCCCAACTTCTACCCTAACCCTGACTATATGTGTAAGTGTTTTGTCTATGTGAACTCTGTATGATAGCCACTGACCTCCAGCCGGCTAGCACTGTACCCTAATCGCTGGCTAAGGGACAAAGCTCACTGCACTATTCTTGAAAACCAAAACTCTTTGGAACATCTGTATTGACTTTTACCTCACTGCATTAGTCGATCTTCACTGCTTAACAGGAATCTACGGTAGTTTGGTGTGCTTATGTGAATTGTGCCACTGCACTGCCATGTCTAGTGGAAATAATCGCCACAATAAAACAGACGTAGTGACCAAGAGTAGAGTAACATTCACACTTTTTATAAACTCTCATGAACAGTCAGTAGTAACACCTTTCTAGCATTTTATAAAGAACTGCCTTCATTTCAAACTCACGGGGAAACTTATACTGTAGCAGTCTTAGTTAAGTTTTTTCACAGCTGAACATTCCAGTTGACAGTCAGTTTTAAAGATAGAAATATAAAAATAAAGCATCAAAAGCCTTATGAAACTGATACACCTCACCAAAAGGCAGAGAGCAATGAACGTGAGACGTGTGTCACACAACATCCCTGAAAATAATTTACTTATTTTTGTCGTAATGCTGTAGTTTGTGCAATAGTCTTTAAGTGTTAACTGCAACGATGAGTATTTGCCAAGAGCGACCTGAGAGCGTGAAGGAAATTGTTCTTGTACATAGGTTTAACGCTTGTGCTCTCGTCATGCCATTTTGTATGAACAGAATTTAAAAAATGTTAACTGACATGTTTTTACAAAAAAAAAAAAAAAAAAAAGCCTAAGCTTTTTCACTGTTAAATACTGTAGACTCTCTTCCTGTTCAAGCAAAAGGTCGCATGGTTCAAACTGTGCTGTCAACATTTTAAATTATGTCTTTGTAACTTTTTCTTTTTTAAACTGAGATTGATACGTGCTCTCGGGGGGGTTTGTAAGATTTTGTAAGGAACGGTTTTGTTTGATTGTTCAGAGATTTTTATGCTGTATAAAGTATTTTAAATATTTATAATGAAATCTTTGTGTCTGGTCTTTCAATTTTCATCTGCTCTTTTTCTGGCATGGAGTAACTCATCAGCTAAAATTCTAAAATATAGAAGGAATATTTTCCACTTCAATTCTCCGAATCTAGAAATGTAGGTAATTTAAGTAAAAGTTACGCATAGCCTGAGGTCTTATTTCTTTCTTGAGCTTTCAGCAGCTGAAGGACCTAATGAGGTTTTCACTTCACTGCTATGGGTGGATCCATATCACTTTACAACCAAAATGTGCCACTTGTCCCACATACCATAAACATTTCCCACGGGACAGCTCTGGTGAGTAAAGAAACCCCCCACTCCTTTTCGACAGCTGATGGACTCTTAAGACGGACACACACATATTAGAACCACTCCCTTTTAAACAACACACACACACGGCATACTAATCTACTCAGCTGTGACTCCCCCATCTATATAATAATCATCTTTGGGTGACAGTGGCATGTCCAGACAAAAAGGGGGATTCAAACGCATGCACAGGACAACATACACAGGCATGTCAGATTAAATCTGCATAGTTAAGCTGATAAAAGTAGAGGGGCAAGCGTAGCCCTAAAATGCAGTAAATCCAGAGCCTTTTGTTTATCAAAGACAGGCGGGCTGCTGGTCAAAATCCCTCGGAGGTTTGGTGTCAACAACAGCCTGTGGTCATAAATACACCAGCTCTATCCACATGCAAAATATAAAACAACTTCAATAGAGGGAACGCTGTACTGGTAATATTCCACAGCTGTGCGATACCATTGAGGTAGAAGAGTTCCATCCAAAAATAAAGAAAAGGATGTACATTAAGAAACATTGGCTATGATATACAATATCCATTAATCAAGTAATGCTTTTCGGGGAATAATTTTAGAATAATTAATTTAATAATAATAATTTAGGGAAAAATTATGAATCATTTTTATTTATCTTTACATATATTATTATACGTTGAATTAAAAACAAATTACTCACAACAGCCAAAGAAGTATTGCACTTTTTAATACTGGTAATCATTTAAAACAATAATTGTAAGGAAATTGAAAGATAAACATTTGCTTTTTTATTTTTTCTTCAGAAAAATAAAAATAGGTATATAAAAAATCACTACATATGATCAAATGATTTTTACATTTCCTTATGTTTTGACAATTCAGAGTCTGATCTTACTTACACAATGGGTAAGTTATATTATTGCATGGACATTGCACAACTTCTTACTTCTATGAAGATCCAACAAAAATATAAATTTTTAGTTTAGAATAAAACAATTATATATACAAACCGGATTCCAAAAAAGTTGGGACACTAAACAAATTGTGAATAAAAACTGAATGCAATGATATGGAGGTGCCAACATCTAATGTTTTATTCAGAATAGAACACAAATCACAGATCAAAAGTTTAAAATGAGAGAATGTATCATTTTAAGGGAAAAATCTGTTGTTTCCAAATTTCATGGCGTCAACAAATCCCAAAAAAGTTGGGACAAGTCTATTGTTATCACTGTGTGGCATCCCCCCTTCTTCTTACAACACTCAACAGATGTCTGGGGACAGAGGAGACCAGTTTCTCAAGTTTAGAAATAGGAATGCTCTCCCATTCATGTCTAATACAGGCCTCTAACTGTTCAATCGTCTTGGGCCTTCTTTGTTGCACCTTCCTCTTTATGATGCGCCAAATGTTCTCTATAGGTGAAAGATCTGGACTGCAGGCTGGCCATTTCAGTACCCAGATCCTTCTCCTACGTAGCCATGATGTTGTGATTGCTGCAGAATGTGGTCTGGCATTATCGTGTTGAAAAATGCAGGGTCTTCCCTGAAAGAGATGACGACTAGATGGGAGCATATGTTGTTCTAGAACCTGAACATAGTTCTCTGCATTAATGGTGCCTTTCCAGACATGCAAGCTGCCCATGCCACAAGCGCTCATTCAACCCCATACCATCAGTGATGCAGGCTTCTGAACGGAGCGTTGATAACAACTTGGGCTATCCTTGTCCTCTCTGGTCCGGATGACATAGCATCCCTGTGTTCCATAAAGAACTTCAAATCGTGACTCATCTGACCACAGAACAGTCTTACATTTTACCACACTCCATTTTAAATGACCCCTGGCCCAGTGCAAACGTCTGAGTTTGTGGAGATTGCTTAGAAATGGCTTCCTCTTTGCACTGTAGAGTTTCAGCTGGCAACGGCGGATGGCACAGTGGATTGTGTCCACTGACAATGCTTTCTGGAAGTATTCCTGAGACCACTCTGTTCCTTGAAAGTGGCATTCCTGTTTGAGGTGCAGTGACGTTTAAGGGCCCGGAGATCACGAGCATCCAGTAGTTTTACGGCCTTGACCCTTACGCACAACGATTGTTCCAGATTCTCTGAATCTTTTGATGAAGTTATGCACGGTTGATGATGATAACTTCAAAGTCTTTGCTATTTTACGCTGGGTAACACCATTCTGGTATTGTTGCACTATCTTTCTGCACAACAATGGTGGAATTGGTGATCCTCTTACCATCTTGGCTTCTGAGAGACACTGACACTCTGAGAAGCTCTTTTTATACCCAATTATGTTGTCAATTGACCTAATTAGTGTTAATTGGTCTTCCAGCTGTTCGTTATACGCTCAATTTCCTTTTGCCAGCCACTTATTGCTACTTGTCCCAACTTTTTTGGGGATTTGTTGACACTGAAATTTTGAATCAACATATTTTTCCTTTAAAATGTTACATTTACTCAGATTAAACTTTTGATCTGTCATCTATGTTATATTACGAATAAAATATTGACATTTGCCATCTCCACATCATTGCATTCAGTTTTTATTTACAATTTGTTTAGTGTCCCAACTTTTTTGGAATCCGGTTTGTATATATATATATATATATATATATATATATATATATATACATACATATTAAAAGTGATTAAAAAAACACAGCTCTTCTCAGTTCACAGTCTAAAGCTCTTCAGAGAATGGTGAAGGCTGCACAGAAGACTGTTGGAGTCAGTCTCCCTACCATCACAGACATCTACACCTTCAGATGCAGGAAGAGGGCCGCCTGCATCATGAAGGACCCCACTCACCCAGCACACTCACTTTTTGCCCTGCTCCCCTGCATGCAAGAGGTTGCAGAGCATTAGGTGTAGAACCAGTAGACTGAGGAACAGCTTCTACCCAGAAGCTTTAAGACTCATGAATCCCTAACCAGGATAATTACTGTGAAACAAAAAAACAGCAAAAAACAAAAAAAATAATCACTGCAATGCCACTTCAACTGGTGATGTGACTTTTCTGTGTTCTGCTGATTATCTCATGCTGCTGTATTCATTTATACCTACCTGCTCACCACAGACTCCTATTCGGGCTGCTGTTGTTACGCTGTATTATTTTACATTATTAGTGGCATATGTCTTATATTTCAGAGTACCGTTTGGCGTTCGTTTAGTGTATCTTATTGTATATCTTAGGTCCTTATTTACTGTTTCTCTTATACTTTATATTTAGCTATTTTTGGGTGTAACTGGGATCCTGTGTACATAATTCCGTTCCACCTCATGGTGGAAATGACAATAAAGTTGACTTGAACTTGAAAATCCAACTCTTAAAAAAGGAATTCATACTACAGACCCTTTCCAAAACAGAGAATATCATGGAAAAGTTGTTTAACTCCCATAATTCCATTCAAAAAGTTAAATCTTTAATAGATGATAGATTCAGGGCCCACAATTTAAACAATTTCAAGTATTTATTTGTTTATTTTTACATAATTTGGGTTTACAGCTCATGAAACCCATATAAACAGGTTATCCGGGAGAGACTCGGGAGTAGAACCGCTGCTCCTTCACGTCGAGAGGAGCCAGTTGAGATGATTCGGGCGTCTGGTAAGGATGCCCCCTGGGAGCCTCCCTAGGGAGGTGCTTCAGGCATGTCCAACTGGGAGGAGACACCGGGGAAGACCCAGGACACGCTGGAGAGACTATAGTCTCTCGGTTGGCCTGGGAAAGCCTTGGAATCCTCCTAGAAGTGCTGGAACAGGCGGCTGTGGAAAGAGATATCTGGGCCTCCCTGCTCAAGCTGCTGCCCCCGTGACCCGACTTCGGAATAAGCGGAAGATAATGGATGGAACACAAATTACCAAGAATATATTAAAGAATTGAGCATGCATCAGGATATATTGAAGACTAAGGATTTGGAAAATAAGTTTCAAGAATTACAGAAGTTGTTGCATAAATACTTGGACTTAGTGGTGTAACAATCTAATATAAGCAATAAAAATTAACTATTGATATTTTATCTATAATCAAAAAAAAAAAAAATTTGACATAATTATTTTTTTTGTTTTTGTACATGCAAGAATTAAGATAAAGTTGAACTATTTGGTTCTTGCTTACGTTAGAATTTGGTTGAAGGAATTTAGCCAGATTGTTAGACTATTTGTATAACTGCAAATTGAAAGGTTTTTATGAAGTTGCATCAGCTTAAAGTGTTTAACCAGACCCAAAACTGCATTGATGTCTCCAGGTCTAAGCTCTTACCAGGTTGGCGTTGTGGGCCAGAGGTCACTTCTTCGTCTTCCTGAGGTGGTTGCTGGTTGTTTAGACCAGAAGACACCTTTGAGGAAAGGACAAACCAGTCCAGGATGCAGTCCATTGCCTAAGGTCATCACCCCCATGTGTTTGTGTGGAACCACAAACACAGGTGACATGATTGCCTCAGAAAAATACAATAAAATGCACTTGACCAGTGAGGAACAAACTTTGAAGAGGGCATGCCACCCTACTCTGGGTGTTGCAAATAATAGTTAAACATGTTGGAAATGAGATCATCAGAGCAAAAGTTGAACCACTGAAAAATAAAGTTGAGAGGTTAAGACATGTGCAGAAAATGGGTATATTGGTAGAAGGATGTTAAGAGATGCATCTATCAGGAAGAGGCCAAAGTGGAGATATACATAAATCGGTTGCATATTTAGTCTATGTATTTAAATTGTTATTCTAAACTTGGTGGAAAGCACATTGGATTGTTATGCAGGAAATATGCTTAATAAATCATTTGGTTTGATTTATGTTTGATCACCTTTAGCATGGTGAAGCAATTTTTGCTATTAGACAGAAACCAAACTTGACATAACAGTTTGTTTTTGGGAGAGAAAAAAAAAGGCCTGTTATCTTACAATAGCTCAATCGACCACTTATTACTGTCCAGCAGGACTTTATTTCTGTCAGTCTGTTCAGGCTTAGATCCTCATGACACTAATCCTGTTTTTAACCCCCTCCTCGTCACATATACACACACACACAAGCTCACACCAGGGTGTTGCTGGCAATAGGGTGAGGGCTTTGTGTCTGAGAAAAACAGAAGATTAACCTGCTGCACAGTGATGGCTGCAGGGGATGCTCTCACGCACAGAACCTGGGTCAGCCTCATGGAGTCACGGTGCCACCTTTTCTCAACAGCTCTCCCACAGGATGAGGATGAGGAGGGAAAAAGTGGGAAGGAGAGGCCGGCTACCTGGCAGCAGCTGTTGCAAACAAAGACGCAGGGGTAGAATAAACAAGCAGATGTTTCTAATGAAGTAGGGAGCACTCAAAGGGGATTTGGGTAATTCCGTTAGACTGACTAGTCAACCTCCTGTTCAATCAATCACAGATAGAGCTGAAGGTGATTACTCAACAAGAAGGGTGCAGCTCATCACAGACTTCTACGGTTACGTTTTTCAGATTTAAGATCTTGTTACACTGATTCCTCAGATTATTTTAGGGAAATCCAAGACTCCAGATGTAGGAGTTAGCCAACCGGTAATCTAGTGTGTGACACAAACATCACACCAGACTGTTTTGATGAGTTTAGACACAAACATATTAAACAAGCAATCATGTATTAAACTTAGTGGGAATCAGTAAAGATTAAAAAAAAGTTAGTTGGGTTCACAAAAACTAGATCATTTAATCACAATTTACTCATTTGTTTGTTTTCAAATTGAAATACGGGAAAGCAAAAATATTTAGAATTATAATGTGTTTGTAAAATACATAAATAGAATGTAAGAAGAAATTGAGCTGTGCCATGAAAAACTAAAGAGTTAAAGCATAAACGAGTCATTAATCAGCTAAGAGCAACTGGTAGCTCTTTGTGAAGAGAAATGTAAATAGCAAGATTAGAAAGCATTGAATTTGGATTAAACGATTAATCAAAACAGTCAGTAACTAAATGTTAACAAAAGCACTGACACACATAAATCTAATCGTTACTTTCTTAACTTCCATTTGGAACCAAAATATCAAATTTCAGTCTGATCACACCTCTAAAGCAGATCTTATTCAGCGGTATTTTTAACTAAAAAAAACAACAACACACTTCCCAACTTGGCGCACACAGGTGGCACTCCTTGAAATATGTTTTCCTCTCTAAAACAACATCAGAAATTCAATCAAAGAGCAAAACAGCCAATAAGATCTCAGTGTCTGTGGCAGCAGCAGCATCACACGGTGCAGCTATTGGTGGGTTGTTTCACACAGGAAAGGTTGTAATTGGCTGCCAGCGTGCCGAGGCTTCATTGCCTCCATGGCAACATTGCTTCCTTATTGCTTAGAGAAGGTAAAAAGGAGGGAAATGAGGAGAGGCGACTTTCACTCAGACACCATCGCTGCATTATTCATCTTCTGTCCCAGTCTGTTGAATCGGTGTATACGCACTGACTGATGCATGTGTCTGAGTTGGTCTGGGTGGCAATGATTGGTTGTGGTATAAAGAGTGAATAAGGTGAAGCCGATGCAATAATTGCAGCCAGCAGTGCAATGCATCCAGCAACAGCACGCCTGTATACAAAACTCAAGGATCATTTGTTGAGCCATCAGAGGGATGCTGACTTCAAACAACAGCTTTTGGTCGTCATTTATCTGAACGCGATAAACAAAGATGAACACGTGCTTGGGTGTAATCTTGTTTGTTGGTTGGTTTACAAAGCGTAACGGCAAACAACTGGACCTTCAGCTGGCCACAGGCTCAGGATGAACAAAGGAATGTCATCCCTCCTGGATAGGCTGGACCGCTCTACACCAGCGGAAACAACAAGAGCCACGCGGTTTGTTTGTTGTTGTTTGGGTTTGTTTTTCCCCCACAACAGTTGAGGGTGGGGATAACTGTAGAGAGGGGAAGGAGAAAGAGACGAGGGTGGAGTCGGAGCAGGAGAAAAACATCACACGGATTAGACTTGGGGAGGGGTGTTCATATAGGACCACTCCCCTTTGTATGGGTCTGTATGAGTGGGGAGGAGGTGGGGGTGTACTGACAGGCATGTTGGGCAGCGAGCTGGCTGGCTGGCTGCTACTCCGGCAGCAAACACGATGACGAGATGGCAACAGACACCCAGCATAGCACGTGCTCTCAGTTGCTATCGCAACCCGGCCTCAGATCCAGCGTGCTGGTTGGCCGTGTCTATAACTGTTGTTCTGGGAGGCTGATGAAACCTCGTGGATGAGGGAGGGCAGGCGGTACAGCATGGAGCTGTTTTTCTCTGCTTTGGTAGAAAGTGTTGCTAGGCACATTAGAGGTCAGCTAGTAAACAAACATTGGGGCATTACTAAATAATGATCTATAAAGTAACTTGTTTAACCCTCAAATAAAAAGAAGGAAACTTCCAGTGCCAAACAAAGAGGCACTAATCCTGAAAAAAAAAATAAAAAAAAAAATAAATAAATCTTAGGACAAAAGAAACATCTCCAAAAATGATACTCATCAAGGTGTTTTAATTCGTCATGTCAGACTGATAACACTATTATAAATGTTACAAATGTCAGAAATAGTTTGGCCCTTTATTACATAAAAATCTATAAAATAAACAAAAACAAAGCAACAATGGTTTAAACAAATAAAGAAAAAAAATTGACAAAACATCAAATAAACAAATAAATCTCAGGCAGTTCTTAGAAGTAATGCTATCTAAAAAATGTGCCCATCTGATGGATTGAAAAACAAAAACAATTTCCTTTCGTAAAGTTTTAACACAAATTCTTCACGTATTATCAGTTCTAGTGGCAACAAGACACCTTAAATGCTACACGTAAAGAAAAACGTGTGTGTGTGTGTGTGTGGCCTCCGGTGGGCAGATCGATACAGCGTTGTGCTGAGTGTGCAGCCTGCTTGATGAAACTCTGAACAAATAAATGGCGCTCGCTTCGTTCTGAACTGAAAGCCACGGAGCGACAGCGCCACGAGAACCGAGCCGGCAACATGATTGATTACAAGCACAGGGAGTCTTTGTTTCGCTGCTAGTAATCAGGACAAAGCCAAGTGAATGCAGGTGTGTGAACCAGGTGAAACTGGGACAAAATGTTCCGTTTGAAAAATGTGGTTGAGGTGAACCTTTGGAAAGAAGCATTAATGTAAAGATATGAACGTTAAATGCACACAGCAACGGCTGGAAAGAGCACCTTTGGGTGCGAGTTTAACGTCCATCGCTGTCATCACATTCGTCCTGAAGGCCAGTTTCGATCTCCTCCAGCCTCTGAGCCATGGACATGACGAGCATTTTCATCTGGAAAGGTCAGGGTCAGGGGAGACAAGAGGGATGTGTTGAGATGGGAAGAGGAACAGCACACGGAATGATTATGCAGCGAGGATGACATAAATGACAGAGGGAGACAAATGAAGGGGAAAATGGACAGGTGAGAAATGAAGGCAGCAACAAATAGCAGAGAGGGCGAAGACGGGAAGGAGTAAAAGTAATTAGAGAAGGGAGGAAGAATGAAAACAGCCAAAGAGAAGGTGTTCAAGAATGGGTGGATAGATGTGAGGTGGGGTTGGGAGACCGTTCAGTGAGAGACAAAAAAAGAAAGAAAGAAAAAACAAAAACATTTTAAGTGTCTACAAGTCAAGCAGGAAGAAGACAAGTCCATCAATGATGCATCACTGTCATCTGGTACAATGCTCTGAACCCCTGAATTCATTCACCGACATGCAAATACAGTATATAAAAAAAATACATATTATAAATACATACATACATACACACACAGATA